CTGTGGCCCGAACAGGCCCGGGTCGGAGCCGGCGGCCGCCTGCCCGAACACGGGGGCGGCGGACGGGGCGGTGGCCGCGGGGCCGGAGAGCTGACTGAAAGCGGAGCTGGAGCTGGCAGCGGGCGGCTGAGCGAAGACAGAAGAGCCGCAGGTGGTGGTCCCAAACGCCGCGGTCTCTGCGGCCGGGCTCGGAGCAGCGCCGGAAACGGAGCTGGAGGTCGTGGGGGGACCTGGGGTTTCAACGGCCACGGGGACCGCGCCCGGGAGGGTAGCCGCGGCGGTGGCAGGCGGCCCGGGAGCCGAGAGCGTGGAAGCGGGGGAGGCCAGTTCCGTCTTGACGTCAGGGCCCGCGGGGGCCGCTGGCGTGGCCTCCGCGGCGGGTGTCGCGAGACCGCCGCCGGACGCTGCGGGGCCCGGGCTGCTGACTGCGGGCTGTGCCAGAGCAGGTTCTTTTTTAACCGGGTCAGAAGTCTGCGGAGGAGCCTGGGGAAGCGGGGCTGACGGTGGCTGCCCCAGAAGCGAGGTCGCGGACGCCGAGGCGTCGCCGTTGTCCGGCTTCTCGGATGAGGCCGAGGATGCGGCCTCTTCCGCGCTCTTACCAGAGGACGTGGGCAGGGTGGGAGCAGACCCTGAACTCAGGAGGCTACCAAACGACATCATGGGGAACAACGTAGGCAGGGGAGCGGCAGTTGTGGCTGACGGTGGGGCAGGTGGGGGCGCTGTACTGCTCGTCTGTTGGCTTCCGAAGGAAAAACTAGTCTTGCTACCACTTAGGGACAGCCCACCGAAACCCAGAACTCCAGAGGATCCCGCACTGGCTACGGGCAGAGCGCCGAAAATGCCAGTCGAGGGACTGCTAGTGCCCGTGCTGGTGGTGGCTGCCAGAGGGGCCCCTGTGGCTGCGGTCACAGAGGAGGTCACGGGGGGTTCTGCGTGCTTCCCTAACACGGGAGGGCTGGTAAAACTAAACCCCGAGGGGATGGTTGAAGTCTTGGTTGGCTGTGCGCTAGTCAGGCCTGTGGATGGAGCCTTCATGGCTGGCTTTGTAGAATCATCTGCTTGGCCAACCCGCAGTCCTGAAAAACTGCCCAAAGTCTCTCCAGCCAAAGAACTCGGAAACAGAAGCTCTCCCAACTTGGATGGCGGGGGTTCCGGCTTGCTAGAGGTGGTGGAGGGAGCGATTCCAGAAGGGGCCACAGGTCTGCTGCTTGAAGGCGCAGACTCTGCCGGAGAGGCAGCGGTGGCTCCAGTGGTGGTTGATGCGGTCATCCCCGAGGGCGGCGAGCTTTCAGGAACCGTCTCATAGAAGGGTTTGCCTCCCCCACCAAACGGGAACGTGTCGAGCTGGTTTGGCTCTTTAGTGGGGGGTGCTGCCCCTAGCAAGAAATAGAAATGAGAAAATGGGTTGGATTTAGCGCAACACGACCCATCACATTCCAAGCCCGGTCTCCCCTCGATACAGTAGGAACAGATGTTCAACCACAGCGCTTTTCCTCGGGGACATAGAGTGAAGGCTTTTTCACAGGAGCGCTCGCTCTGAGTTAGCTCACACGGGTGAGGAAGGCAAATGTCCTTTTCGTGACCGTTACGTCACAGCAAGTACACAGCACCGTCTGAATACGGGAAATTCACAGTATTCTCCCAAAAGAGAAAAAAAAGGTATCTTGTCTCGTTTGCCCCGGGTGCGCTTTCCTCGAGAACATTTGTGATGCGGTGCTCGCCTATGGACCTCCCGGTAGGCCGGGAGTTGATCCAACATGGAAATTCCTGCTGTGTTTTTTACGGACTAAGAAAGTGTCAGTCCACAGACAACTATTTTTATGCACAACAAAGGGCTACTTCCTAGTGAGCACTTTTACAGAGGCAGTGTGGCCTCCTGGTCAAGGGCACGGGCTCTGGAGCCGGGTGCTCTGCCGCTTACTCGCTGCACCACTCTGGACAAGCTACTTTACCTCTCTGGGCCTCAGTTTCCCCATTTGAAAATAAGTGTAGTAAGAGTAGCTACCTCAAAGAGCTGTTATAAACATAGAATGAAATACAAGTAAAGGTCTGGTCAAACAGTAAGTGGTCGATAAATAAAAGTAACCCAATTTTTTAGTTTACGAAGTAAAATTGGTCTATTACAGTGTTTACTGATATTTCTAACTCCATGTTGTTTTAAGAAGTCTGGCTGTCACAAATTCTTGGGAAGGCCGCAGGGCCCCAACTCCCCGGGGGCCATTTCCTGTTGTATCACTGCTGTTGTATCACTGCTGTTACGGAGCTGCCTATGGTTCTGGATCGTTGTCTAGTCTCGTAGTGATTCAAATGTTTACAGAATTACCACTGCATTTCCCTACTGTCTGACTTATGACCTCCGCCGGTTATTATTTTGTTCCTCTTAATCCTTTTAGATCACGGAGTTGTTTTGCTCTGGAAAGTGGGACAGGGGAGAAGATGAGCCTCGGGGGTATTCTGCCACATCTAAGTGGGCAAAGGTTACAAAAACAGTTTAAACAATCACTATTCTAGAAAGGAAGGAAGGAAGGAGACCATCAACCCTTTAAGTGCCACAGACAAACCAGGTTTAGGGAGTCTGCTGTGCTTTCAGCCCCCAATCTGCCCCCAGATCTTAAGGGACCCCTTTTTTCCCAAAACCTCCTCCACTCGAGCTGGCACAGAGGACACGCTCAAAACAAGCTTGTTGAGCGAACGGAGGAAAGACAGTCAGTGTGTTGTTCATTATAGGGAAAATCTGGAAACAACCTAAATATTCGGCAGGTAAATGGGTTCAATAAATCACAGAAACTATGTGGCCATTAACACGTGACATTCATATAAGATTTCCAGTAACACTGGAAAATTCGTAAGAGCCTGTGTTAAAGGAAATGAAGCAGAAGAGGAAACACAAAAGAAATACAGAACCTGAGGGGTACGACATGTGATTTTAGAATATATCACTTTCATAGGAAGAGCTTGCTTTTTCAAATAAAGGAAAAATAAACTTAGTTCTTTAAACGGAGAGCTAGAAGGCACTTAAAAAATACATTTGGTTTCTTTACAGGTCCTCAAATTCTCTTAACCATTAAAAAGATGTCGGCTGACGGCTATGTAACAACACACAGAAGGATGAGTGTGTTTGCCGACAGGTTATCCGGGAGAGAAGACGAATCCGGTCTTGTGAGGATGAGCAGATGGAGAAAGGAATTCTAATTCACATGTTAACATCCGCATTTAAAGCACAGCCTTGCTTTCCCAGAAGCAAATCCGTTCCTTGTTCTGAATTTAAAAAGTCAACAGGAGTCCTCCCCTTTAGTTTCTTAAATGCGGCTTATTTCGAAGGCACACTGTCAACACCAAACTTGCTGCAGATGCTTTAAGCAAGACTCAGCAGCGAGGAAAATGTCAACACATCTGTACAAAAACCCAGCACCTGTTTAGAGAAAACACAAAAGAAACGCTGCGCCGTGCAGGGAGAGACTGTACCTTGTGCAGCAGTGACATTAGAAGACGGGGTTGGTGTGATTATCCCAAAATTAAAGCCAGTCCTAGGGAGCGCAAGGAGAGAGGTTAAAGAGGAACAAACACCGAAGGCACAATCCTGCCCTTCTTAATGTTACGTTTACAACTCATTTGTACGATCGATCTGCTCGTAGGCACTCACAACCGAGACGATAAACGACAGCAGAGTAAAAGCGTGGATCTCAGAGGCAGGAAGCCGCTCCAAGATCTCGAGGCGGGGAGCGGCAATCGGCGGGCGAGGCCAGGAGGCCCTGGCTGGGCTCTGCAGCCCGGGTGGGGACCCGTGGTGCGGAAAGCTAAGCAGTGACGGAGATGCTCCGGGCGTGGGGGCGTGGGCACGGTGGCTGGGGCAGACCGTCTGCCCCGGGACGGAGGCAAGGGAGCCGGGTCAGGGAGAACCCCTGAGAACCCACCCCGAGATCAAAGGGCTCATCGGGAGCACGCCATGCCGCTAGGGGACGTGGAGGAGAGCACGAACTCTGAGCCCTCGGCTGGGAAAATCCGGTCCGAAACCTTTGTGGACTCCCTCTATCAACCTCTCTCTCTCCTAACGTAGATTTTCTTCAGATGTCTTGACCTAAGTCAAGACACCACGGTCAAAGGAGAAATTCGGCACAAGCGGGAACGAGAAGAGACGACCCACTGTGATAAAAGTTCAAATGGCAAATTTAAAACTACAGTTCTAAGGCATCAAGGGGCCAAGCACAGCAAATACAGTTAAGTACTGTAAGGACTTAGGTTTTGCTTACCCATCAGTGCCTTCCTCGAATGGACAAAAACCATCCAAGAAGATGTGTTAGAAGCATTTTATCACATTACAAGAAATAATCCTTTCTTTGTCTCAACCTTGGTGACCAAAGCTTATCTAACAGAGGTGAGCCACTGACCCGGGGACCCAAACCTTTTCACCTTATTTTAAAAATGGGAAGAAGAGTATCCGTTTGCAGCAGCGAAGACTGTTAAGTGTTTGTAAAAGAAGCAATAACTCCCGGCGCCAACCTACTCTCTCAAAGTGGCTCCAACGATCTTTGAGAGGAGAAAACAACGATTTACATTAAAGAAAAAGTAATCTGATAATTTCCCCCTCGAATTCTACTCTAACCCCCTCTCGCTCTTGACGTGTTATGGCTGAAGGACACTCGGGAAACAATGACATCGGGGGAGAGACTGTGGGAAGCAGAATTCCAGTCCCAAGAGCACAAAGTGAAAGGGCTTCAGAGGCTTTTCTACCGGACCTGAGCACGCAGGCTTTCCACGGCCAAAAACCTTCGGACAGGTTTTTATCTCCGCTCCACAGAGCCCAGCTCCCCTCCGGGAGGAGGAGGACGCTCCGGCCCCCTTCACGGGGTTCAACAGAAGTGCCTCGGGCACAGAACAAAGGCACCCACCCTGTGAGGCGAATCAAGGCTCCCGTGGAATGACGGTCGGAAGACTTTCCATTTTTCAAAATGACTCAACTTTACAGGTACAGTCATCATTATTCTTAAAGAAATGCGACAGGAACATTTCCCCTTATCGCCACAAGACCCAGATTTCCAAAGGGCTGTGGTCCTTCACCACCTCCTCTCAGTGGAATGTAGCGCCCTCTCGAACAGGAAAGCCAATCTCAATGTCACCCCCAGCCCCCAGATGGCGTCAGAACGCAAAGAGGTCAGTGTCATAAGCTAGAAGACCAACCACAGAATCTGACACAGACCCACTGCTCAAAGAAAAGGAGGCTAACCCTAGAAAACAAAACAAATACATCTATAGTAACACGTGTATACACTTGGGACGGAAAATGGGAAATACAGTTGGCCCTTGAACAAGGCAGGGATCAGGGGCCCCCACCCCCATGCAGCTGGAAATCCACTTAAAACTTCTGACTCCCCAAAACTTAACCACTAATAGCCTCTTGCTGACCGGAAGCTTCACTGACATCACCAACAGTTGGTTGACCCATGTTATGTGTATGACACGCTGCCTTCTTACGATACGGTAAACTAAGAAAAATATTACGGAGAAAACCAAAGGAAAAATACATCCATGGTATTACCGGAAGTTACGGGAAAAAAATTCGCGTGGGAGCGGACCCATGCGGTTCAAAGCCCCGTTGTTCGAGGGTCAAGTGCAGACCTGCATGAGGATGATAAGCTAGTGTTGCTGACATCATATGTGTTACTGAAGGTGGTAAGAGCTCTGGGCTCATTCATATGCATTTAATAAGCAGATACATATACCTACTGACGGTAAAACTGGGGAAGCTACCTATACGGTTGCTGGCGATCTGCCACAAAAATTAAGTTTGTTACTGACCCTGATGGAGAAAATGAGAAAGGCTTGCTGAACTGCCCAGCAGCAGATGGGGTAGAAGTCACAGCTGTTTCTATCTTGGATGCCCCTGGCCCTGAAATTATGGGAAGAAAAAAAAAAAAAATGAGAACATGACAAGAAAGCTGTTAGAAACACCGTTCCAGTTTGTTATTCTCTGCAGGTCCAGCCTGTGGGCCTCACCGTGCTCTCCGACAGGTCAGGTCGGCATCGAGGCCCATGAACTTACTTGCTCGCCGGCTCTGTCAGTGTTAACTCCAAACCAAAACAGGCCACGCTCTCCTCTCCGGAAAAGATACCAAAAGAATTCGAGGGTAGTTTAAATTGAAACCACTGAAAGCAGTTTTATAATTTTATGAGAATTTATAATAAAGTTTTAGAATTATGGAAATACACACTGAAGGAAAAAAAAAAACCCAAAGAGAAATAGGTTAGTATGTGAAATATCTCTGAGTAGTGACTTCATGACCATTTGCTTTCTCCCTACCTTTCTGTATTTCTCAGAGTGGATGGTTTTATGTTTAACAAATAACGGCTTTTTTATTTTTTTTTTATTTTTATTAAAAAAATTTTTTTTTTCAACGTTTATTTATTTTTGGGACAGAGAGAGACAGAGCATGAACGGGGGAGGGACAGAGAGAGAGGGAGACACAGAATCGGAAACAGGCTCCAGGCTCTGAGCCATCAGCCCAGAGCCTGACGTGGGGCTTGAACTCCCGGACCGCGAGATCGTGACCTGGCTGAAGTCGGGCGCTTAACCGACTGCGCCACCCAGGCGCCCCAATAACGGCTTTTTTAAAAAAATTACAAAGGTCATACGTGAGTATTGCCACACAGCAAAGCTAAAAGTGCAATCCATTCTCTTCCCTAGGTTCAATTTCACTGTAACTACTCATTAACAGTCTGGGGTATTATCTTCAGTTTTCCCCCTACTGCTCCACTTTAAGAGGGGGAGGAAGAGGGAACGCTACATTTAAAAAGCCCAAACCAAATCACACGTTTAAAAAAAAAAAAAAAAGGACATTCTCCTCAAATGAGTACAGGGTAGAGAATTTTTAAAGCTACTATAAAGCAATGCGGTGTGTATAAGGGTATTTTGTGCAACCTTGGTCATCATCTTGAAAAATCAGAAACGATCTCAACTATCAGCACAATACTGGTAAAACTTAACAGGGTGCAGGTCCTCGGCTGCAATTAAGACAAGTGACGTAGAGCGGTGTCAGATCTGGAAAGATGAACGGAGTATGTATTGTAATGGGGGGAGGGCAGGTACCAGGTTACAAATCAACAGATACAGGATACACCTATTTTTGTTTGAAAAACAACACTGAAGTAACCTTCCAGACACGCAGATTAAATTAAGGGTGGTTATTTCCGGAACTCGAATTTAAGAGGCAGCGTTCACTTTCTACCTTATAGGTCTCTTCACCGCAGATGGTTTTGTGCATTTACGGTGGTTTTATAATCAGAAAGACAACAAAGGTACTTCCATTCTTAGTTAATAAGAGAACTATTTTGCAAACTTGGAGACAGTATCTTCAGGGAGATTTTTCTACCCTCAGACGTCCTTTCCCTTTGCTTATCCAGCATGTGAAAACACAAGTAAACGTCTAGCAACGAAAGACAGGATTTCACAATCACCGCTGAAAGATGCACGTCAGAAATATCTCTGCAAGTCCCGCTAACTGTTTAAGACGTAGGTGAAGCAAAATTTCTTAGACTTCCTTGGTTCTTAAGTTCAGGAGGGACAAAAAGCTCTCTAAGGTGGGCCTTGAAGAGGCTGGGATGTATGGTCTTTCAAAACTTTCCAAAACATTAGCCAGAAATGGAAACCAGCTTCTTAATCTGAATCCTTAATAATCCTCACGGAATTTTCTTCTAACTGAAAACTTCAGATCCCAGTCAAGAAGGGAGACGCGGCTCCCTCCCCTGGAAAGCCCGCCCGGTAACAGCCAGTCCTGCACTAATCCACAGTCTGGACAACTGAGGGGTACGCACTAACGAGTGCAAGGCCTATTTACTGAAGATGAACCCAATATCCAGCTTTCGATTCTAGAGAAAGGCAGAACGACTGTGCAGCTGAGGAGAAGACGATGCTCGGAAAGCAGGCGGCTCGGTCTCTAACGGAATTTGCCCGGACACCCACCTGGGAGCATGAGCGAAAACAAAAGCCGGAGCCCAGGGAGTGGCATACGCGCAGAACCGCGGGCGGCACAAGGCCCCAGAAGCCGAAAGGAACACAGGCCAAGTAAAGGGGCAGTAAAGAAGGGGCCAAGGGAAGGGGATGCTGCGAAGACCCCACATCATCAGCATCTACACAAGAGAGCTCTTCTGCTTCGATTGGTTTGGGCAATGTGGACCCCTTGGTCAAAGCACTGACGGTGACTGTAAAAACTACTAATCTGAGCTAAGGATAACTCAGCTCAAATGGGTACTGGGAACTGTGTGAAGCCATAAAATCGGGACACTGACATCACTATCGTCCACTCTGACATTTTTCTATTACCACAGATCTGTTTTCCTTTCTGCATTTTGCAAGCTTTGAATGACCACTGTGAACCAAGAGGACTTTTCGGTCCTTTTAGTAGAAGAATACAGCTCGAGTTCCACTCCCCTCCCGTAACTTTGATTATCCAGCAAAAGGCCAGTGAAGACAACACAATTGCTCCTTTTCAGGAAAAGCATTTTAAGGAAGATTTTTCTCCTACTGCGCTCAAATTTCAGAAGTCTGCAGGGCTGATGAAGGGCTCACGGATTTCCTGGACATTCTTCATTGACTGAAGCCTTCCAAATATCTCTTTACTTGATTTCCTACGTCAGCGGCCTCTGTGATCTAGAATACTAAACTCTCTTGTGGAGGGTTTCTTTCACCTTGATTTTCACTAAAATGAAAATGCAAACTGACCTGAGGCTTTATCACCAGATGACAACTGACCGGACACTGGCGTGGGCCCCGACGGCTTTAGGGAATTTATTAGAGATCCCTGTAACAGAACACAGGCAGAACATGCATGTGAAAACATTAACCATCCTTTAGAATAAAGAAACACGTAAAATGAGAACATAATTTAAAAGTAAGCAAGCATACACTTTCATTTAATTCTTAAAAACCTTATAATCCAAAGTCAGTACGTTTAAATGCTTATCGTGTGTAAGAGTATATCAGAGCATGGAATATTCTGCAAGCTCCAAGAATACAGTCTTGCCTACCTAGCTTGTGGCTATTTTCCCAGCATCCAGCACAGTGCCTGGCACATAGGAGGCACCGGAACATCCGGTAATGAATAAGGAAATGAATGAAATGGGTTCTGGCTCTCAGTACACGTATAATAAAATTAAAAAAATGGAACTGTTCAACTTCTCCATCTCCAGCAAATGTTCCTTTACTCTTATTGGTTATGACTTCTGCTTACCCTTGTGTTCTCCAAGGTCAACACAGAAACCTCCAGAAGAAGGACCAAATGTTAAACGCTTAAATGCCATTGTAACAATCAGAGAGCCATGCTGAGAACTCACAAGAGGCAAGTCGTGAGGTTCAATCTCAAACACAATGTGAAATTACTCCTCTCAGAGACAGATGAGAGTGGCAGAGAAACCAGGTCTTCTCAGGGAAGGTTTCAGGGATAGCTTGATCTATCTGCCAGCTGTCTCCAATTGTTTTCTTCTGGATTAACTGTTTACTATAGAACTGTTTACAAGATTTTTGTAAAAGACGATGCTCATCAGGCAAAAGCCTAAGCACAGACGTAAGGGATACCACTGTGTACACAAGCTCCGAAAAACAGCGATTGCGGGAGAGAGCTGGAGAAGCCACCCCGCCAAAGCACTGATCCTGAAAGGTACGATGTACAAGCCACAGAGGGAAGAAGGTACAAGAGCCGGCCTTCAGCTCTGGCTCCAGCATTTCCTAATCATGTGAGCTTGCACCGGTCACTTGTGCCTCAGGTTCTCATTAGGGAAACACATATACACACCTGCCCCGTTCTACCGCACACGGTTGTCGTGTGGGTTATTGAAGGTAACGTTCAATGAAAGTAAATCACACGCCCAAATCACCCAAACAATCATGAAGGTACTGGAACTGTGACCCAAGATTCCTAGAGGCAGAATGTCGAATGGCCTACAAAGACAACCTCAGGTCCTGACTGACCTACTGTGTCAAGACTGACATAAATTCTACGGAAAGGATCACAGGTCTTTGTCGGACTTCTACTTTGTTAAAACAAAGCCCAGACTTGAAACAGTACTGTCTTCAAAGACAGACGTCGCAAGGCCGTTCACGAGAGCAAAAACCAGGAAGTCACCTGTTTAGCCGGGTTGGCAGCTGCCGGAGTCACCGCTGGGTGGGGCGCTTTGGCTGCAGGGTATGGCACCGAAGAGCTGAGAAACACAAAAGCGTACACTCAAGAGAAAGGCACGGGGGTGAAAATGACCTTCATCTCTGTGCCTGCCTTCTAGCCAATCAATGACACCAATATCGGGCAGAATCCGTTTGGGACCCTATCCAAAGTCATCTGACACTTTTCTGAAGAATCGCTTGTTGAAATGAAATTTGCGTCTCCAGCATAGAAGTCAAAGCAGTGAGCTTAAAACTTTTTTCCTTCCTGCCATCCTGAGAATGAAAGTTAAAATTATTCAGAAGGAGAGCTTTTTTTCTTACCTGGAGAGTAAGCCCCCTCCCGTCCCCATCCCCGGTTCTACACTCTGGGGAGTTTAGAACTCATACGCCTAATGCTCTTTTCCAAGCCTGAGTCTAGACGCGAGTCTAGAATCGTGCCGGATTCTCTTTTCCAAGCCTGAGAAAATGTTCAACTGGACCCACGGGTTGTATATGATCTGCTGTGATAAAGGGCTCCAAAGTGTTTCTCAAAGAGGAGACATTCAGCTTCTCACAGCAACCACCCCCGAGAGCCCAGTGCTCACCAGGTCAGCGTACAAGAGATTCAAATGTACCGCTGTTCCGTATAACCTGCACCTTTGCTGCAGTCTGAAAGGGTATCTGCTATTTGTAGAAAAGAGATCTTTACGTTAACTCTGAACGCGGTGTGCAGGGAACGGTTATTTCAGTAATTATTTAGTGTTCGTGTGTGAGGGGAAAAACCGGCCTGCTTAATGCAATCAAGGATAAGAGTTCTATTCTCGGCTCCTGGGAGCAATTCATTTATCTGTCCTCAGTCCAAAGCTACCCTGACTGGTAAGTATAGCAATAGTAGCCGTAGGATCTGGTTTTCTTTTTCTCAATTCCCCCTAGGCTAGGGAGGATTGGTATTTTTCCATCAAAAAATTAATGTGGAAGAGGAAAGACAAAAATAAGCTCATGCCTCACGGAAGGAAATTATCAAACGATTTAGCAATCTTACAAGCACCTCACGATTCTCGGCTGGATTAATACAGACCTTCCAAAACTTTATTAGATTGAGAGACAAGAAAAAATGGAGTCATTTTCAGTGAAACAAATCCCCTTCGCTTTTCCCTGAAGACAAAAGAAGCTATAAATGTGTTCTCCGAAGAAAACAAGTCTCTGTTCCCCTGAGATGTCCCACCACAGGAAGGAGGAGTGTGCGAGCAAGGCTTCTGGGGCTGAGAAAGCCCCAGGCAGACATGGCAGACTGGGGAAAATGTGGTCTGAGCTCATAAAAATCACAAGGGAAATAATCTTTTATGCTTTCCCAAAGACAAACAAAAAAGAAACTACCAGTAAAAATGAAAGCAGCAACTTATCCAACTTTAGAACATGTTTTTACGCCCAAAACTTAGTTATGACACAACGGTAAGTTAAACCACGCGTGAAACAGGGTGAGTGTCATTACTGTTCCAGTAGTGATAACGCTATCGAATCCCTCGGGGGTTCTGAGTCCCCAGACACACACCAGGAACTCACACACTGGGCCGTGTGACAGCCCTGCAGAGAAATGCCGTTCGGCGCAGTTGCTGACAAACCAAAGGACTACAGCGACAGAACAGAGCGGTGACTTAATTCCACTTTCTAGCAGCGCAGGCCTGACAGGGACGGTCAGAACCTCATCTGACGGGCTCCGTTCCAGAAAACAGAAGTCAGAGGACCGCAAGCGGAAGCGGCACTGCACCAGCGCTCCAAGGAGACACCTGACAGCAGAGGTCTGCAGATGATGTCGCATTACCGGTGACACTTGAGTGTTTTTTTTTTTTAAATGCTTTTTGTAAGTTTATTTTGAGAGAGGGAGAACATGCACAAGTGGGGTAGAGGCAGAGAGAGAGGGAGAGAGGATTCCAAGCAGGCTCCTTATTGTCTGCACAGAGCCCGATGGGCTTGATCTCATGAACCGTGAGATCGCGATCTGAGTTTAGATGGAGCTTAACTGACTGAGCCACCCAGGTGCCCCTCGTGTGCCACTTTAAAACATGTGAATGAGGGGCGCCTGGGTGGCTCAGTCAGTTGAGCGTCCGACTTGGGCTCAGGTCATGACCTCACGGTTGGTGAGTTTGAGCCCCGCATCGGGTTCTGTGCTGACGGCTTGGGGCCTGGAGCCTGCTTCAGATTCTGCGTTTCCTCCTCTCTCTGCTCCTCCCATGCTCATGCTCTGTCTTTCTCTGTCTCTCAATAATAAATAAACGTTAAAAAAAAAAAATTTAGAACACGTGAATGAGTAATGGGGTCTCTCCGGTCTTGGATGGTGGTTCCTGGAGAAAAACCCTTCCAACAGAAGAATCTAAGTTCTCTGGCTCCCCATGCCCCAGACCACTCTGATAAAGACTAACTGCAGGGGAAAATCCAAAATATCATAAACACGGGAAACTGTCTCAAAGACTGCCTGGAATGCAGAAAAGGCACTCTGCTCTCTGTCACCTGCCACACCCTATCAGAGCCACCCACACAGGTGGGCTGATGTGCGTGTGTTGTAGGGGTGCGTATTCCACACACAGATATAAGACTGAATTGTTAAGACTGTGAAACATTAAAATGTCACCTAGGCCCTTTCTTAATGTTCTTTAAAGGTTAATGAACTTCACCAAGGTAAATATACTGTTGTGAAAGGGGCCAACTACTCATTCTTTTACCCTATTTTAACATTTTTCTTAAAGTAATCTCTAGACCCAACGTGGGGCTCAAACTCACGACCCTGAGATCAAGAGTTGTGTGCTCCACCAACTGAGCCAACCAGGCGCCCCTATTTCAACATTATAAAGGGCTTAAAAACCAAGGAAACTGGTTATGCCCTAGTTCGATACATCTTAATCCTGACCACGAGTATCTTGTTATGTACTCACATCCGACATAGCGGATCTAACCCACGAAAGCTACTCAAGTTAACCAATGAACTAGGAATTTTTGGTAATAGTTTAAAGACAGGTAAGGCAAGTAAGGAGACAGGACAACATCTCAAGAGCAAATGAAGAAACAGAGCAAACAGAAATCAGGAGAGAAAAAGAAAGATGATGATAGAAGATACGGAAAACAAAAGCCATCCGTCCATTTTCTCACCTGTCAGATGGGCAGTCACCCTAAAGTCTGGCCATAAATGTGACACCCCGGGCAGAGATACGGGCAGGCAGGCACCGTACAAGGCTTGTGGGAAGACAAATAAATGTGCCAACAACAGTCACAATTCCACACACGTAACTATCTAAGCACACAGATGCCTCCTTGGCCCCAGCAGTCCTGCACTGGAGAATTTATCCTACAGATACAGCTGCTCAAGTGTGCAAAATGATCAATGTGTCCAATAGCATTCCTGATAACAACAGAAGATGAGCATCCCCAATGTCAATCAGTGGAAGGGGGGAGAAAAGAGCTATCGGTTCATTTTTAGGAGTTTCTTATGTTTGGCAGTGAAGATTGTGACTGCCGACTGTTGTCCCCTATTGGCCAATTTTATGTCCCTGAAGACTCAGATATTATCCAAGATATCGTTAAAGGTCTTCTAACTCAAACTGTGGTTCTTGAATGTCCAGATGCCAAATAACTTACATAATGTAAATTGGAGCTGCATCAGAGTTCTGAAAAAGATCTATGTTAAATGTAAACACAGGATTCTGTTACGAATTTATAAGGACATGGAAAATGTCCACAACTAAGTTTCATGACGAAGCTGAAACAGGAAGTTACAAAGCAGCATGTATTCCAACTTTACTTTAAGAAACAAAATTTTCACAGAATAAAGATGAATAAGTAAATAAAGATTTTAATTTTTCTATCTGGTTTTCATAATGTCTACAATGAGTATTTATAATGAGAAAAACCTTGAGGATCAGTTTTTAAAAGGTTATGGTCATTACTACAGTTATTTTTAAAGTGGGGCAACATCTTTAAGTCAGTGAAAGAAAAAACTGTTAACCCAGAATTCTTGGTGAAAAGATCTTTTAAAAACAAAGGTGAGGGGCGCCTGGATGGCGCAGTCGGTTGAGCGTCCGACTTCAGCCAGGTCACGATCTCGCGGTCCGTGAGTTCGAGCCCCGCGTCGGGCTCTGGGCCGATGGCTCGGAGCCTGGAGCCTGTTTCCGATTCTGTGTCTCCCTCTCTCTCTGCCCCTCCCCCGTTCATGCTCTGTCTCTCTCTGTCCCAAAAATAAATAAACGTTCAAAAAAAAAAAAAAACAAAAAACAAACAAAAAAAAAAAAAAACAAAGGTGAAATAAAGCCTTTGGCAGACACACAAGAGCTGAGAGAATTCAGATCTACACCTGAAGAAATGTCAGAGGAAGCCCATCAAGCAGAAGGAAACCCAAACAAAGAAATGAAGGACACCGGAAATGATAAAACCACCCATGTAAGCAAGAGGTTTTTTTTCTTCTTTGGATCTATTTAGCGGTGTCTGGGTGGCTCAGTCAGTTAAACGGTTAAACGTCTGCCTCTTGATTTCTGCTCAGGTCATGATCTCACGCATCCTGAGTCTGAGCTCCGCCTTGAGCCACACTGTCAGCCCAGAGTCTGTTTGGGATCTTGGGATTCCCTCTCTCCCCTTTTCTTTCTCCCCCTCCCCTGCTCACTCCCTCTCTCTCTCTCCCTCTCTCTCTGTCTCTCAAAAGTTAAGTAAATATTAAAAAAATCAATTCCAAAGATAATCAACTGTTTTTTTACAACAACATATCATGGAATTGATAACGCAGGTAGAAGGAAAATGTACAAACAATGACGATATTGCAAAGGTGGGCAGGGCAGAAATTGAAGAATACTGCTCTAAGATTCTTATGTGATACCTTAGAGGTACGATGTCACTTGGAGACAGACTGCGGTAGGTTAAAGATGTGCACTGTAACCATAATGCAATCCCCAAATTAACACACAGTGTTATAACTGATAAACCAACGAAAAAGATAAAAGAAATCATAAAACATATTCAACCCAAAAGAAGTTGCAGAAAAAGAAGAAAAATGGAACAAAGAAAAGATGAGACAAACAGAAACCAAACAGCATTATGTTGATTTAAACCCAACATGATATAGGGGGGCCTGGGTGGCTCAGTCAGTTGGGCGTCCGACTTTGGCTCAGGTCATGATCCTGAGGTTCGTGAGTTCGAGCCCTGCGTCGGGCTCTGTGCTGACACCTCGGAGCCCGGAGCCTGCTTCAGATTCTGTGTCTCCCTCTCTCTCTGCCCCTCCCCCACTCATGCTCTGTCTCTCTCTCTCTCTCTGAAAAAGAAACATTTAAAAAAAAAAAAAAAACCCAACATGATATAGTCACATTGAATGTAAATGGTCTATGCACTCCAATTAGAACAGATTGGGTGCCTGGGTGGCTCAGTTGGTTAAACGTCCGACTCTTGGTTTCAGCTCAGGTCATATCTCATGGTTCGTAAGTTCAAGCCCTGTGTTGGGCTCTGCACTGACAGTGTGGAGCCTTCATGGGATTCTCTCTCTCTCCCTCTATCTGTGCCCATCCGCCCCCCAGTCTCTCTCTCTCAAAATAAGTAAACTTAAAAAAAAAAAAAGTAAAAGTTAAGTAAAATGAATCTTGACGCTTACTTAACACCAAGACAATTTAATGGGGGGGGGGGGGGAGTCTTTCCAACAAATGGTACTGGGACAACTGGATATCCACTTGCCGAAGAATGCAGTTGGAGCCCAATGTCACACTATTTACAAAAATTAGGTCACAATGGATCAAAGAGCTAAATCTAAAACATCTAGAAGAAAACATAGGTGTAAACCTTTGTGACCTTTGACTGGGCAAGGGTTTCTTAAATACGATTACGATACCCAAAGCAGAGGCAGAAAAAAATAAAAAAATAAACTGAACTTCACCAAAATTAAAACTTTTGTGTTCCAAAGGACACTATCGAGAAAGTGAAAGGTCACCTGAAGAATGGGAAACAAACAATCCATTTTAAAAATGGGCAAAGGATCGGGGCGCCTGGGTGGTTCAGTCGGTTAAGCGTCGGACTTTGGCTCAGCTCATGATCTCGCAGTTCGTGGGTCTGGGCCCCGCGTTGGGCTCTGTGCTGACAGCCCTATGTCTCCCTCTCCCTTCCCTGCTTGTGTTCTGTCTCCCTCTCTCAAAACCAAATAAACATTAAAAATAAAAAAAGAACCAGAAGCTTCCTGCTGAAACCACGGGTCATCACAACTATTTATTAAAGCTCACAGACTTTTCTACTAAAAAAAGGTGAATTTTACTATATATAAATCGTGCCTCAATTTAACACATTTTGCTAAAGTTAAAAAACAAAACAAATCAGATCAGGTCACACACCTACCCCAAAGCATCCAACGGTCAGCAGCCAGGTCCTGACCGAGGTTCACTAGATATTACCGGATACGGGAATCCACACCCACCTAACTCCCTGACCTCCTCTCCCCGGGCCCTCCCTCCCGCTCCGGCCACCGGCGGCGGCCTCCTGGCTGTCCTCAACCGGCCAGACTCGCCCCTGCTACAGGCCCTGTGCTTGGAGCTTTCTTCCCTAAGATATTCACGAGGCCTGCTCTCTGACCTTTTGGACTTTACTCAAATGTCAAGTGTCAAAAGCCATGGGAAGGCCTAATTTTACGTACGACAAGAAGATGCAGCTTCACGGGGCGAGCAAACAGGGTCTGGTGTTTCTGAGATACTTTAGTCATGAGCCATGGAGGACAGGCACCTTCTTTGGCCAGCCTCTTTGAAACGGTAGCCCGTACCCGGAGGACCTCCTTAAATCCCTTCCCTACTTCAGGGTCCTCTGTCACACCTGTCACCATCTTAAATACTTCCTGTCTTACTCATTTCCCTTATTGTTCGTCTCTCCGTGACCAGGGCAGAAGCGGTTGGTTGTCTTTTGCCTGCTTTGTTTAAACGCTTTATCCCCAGCACCTAGAACGGAGTATTAAGCATTTAACAAAGCATTCGTTGAAAGACATAAACGAACGTCAAAATTCCTGAAAGAAATGACGTGTCGGGGGTGTTTTGGTAAAAACAAACCAACAAACCAGCAATCCCACCATGTTAGGCCCCCCCGCCCCCACCCTGTCTTGGTTCTCTGCCTCCTGCCAGGCCTCTAGCCATCCCGGCCTTCTTCCAACTCTTTCAACTTTCCTGGGAGAGGCGGTTTTGCGTATCAATTATGCTTAGAGTTAACCTAGTACTCAACAAATGGTCACCAAAAGGAACTACGTGCCAGGCGGGGCCTGCAAGCTAAACAACTGTACTGGAGCCCAGTCCTGTAGGGAAGGAAGAGAAAGTTTCTTCAAGATTCCTTTTGAGTTTTTTCGTCTATTTTTCTCAAGTCAGAGAAGAGGGCACACTGAGAACTGCTCCTCCGACCCAGCCCTTATCAAAGATCTGCTCAGACGAACCATTCGAGGGAAACAAAGGTTAAGAAGGTTAAGTGAAATCACGAAGAGGTGCTTCTCCGTGGTTAACGGCTGAAGTATCTCAGAAACACCAGATCATACTGCTTTCACCGTTAAGCTGGATTTTCCTGCCTTATGCAATATTCTGCCTTTTGGTGGCTTTTCTCTGCCTTCCCTACATGAGGAATCTGGCTATAATTCCCAAACTCGAATGCACAGTTCTTTCCCTTGGGAAGTTCACAACAACCACAAATGCCATCTGGATATAAACAGCATACCAAAGCGTCAAGGTCACTACAAGATAGGAGAGTGGGTAGGCTTGTTTTTGGCTGTCAGTACAGCCCTGAGATAACTAAGAAATCCCTGGAACGGGCGGGGTTGATACATGGACCAACGTGGAATCAAGGGAAGGCCAGCGGACCAGCAAAACAGGGCCACTTGATAAGGCCAAAACAGAGCAGTGAGCAGACCTGCTCCGCGGGGGTGGCAGAGAGTGGGCCCCATGTGGAAAAAACACGGGGCCCGCGGCTGTTCATCCTGCCGCTGGACGAATCACCGGATACCAACTCCCTGAACGATGCTGGTCTTCACCATCCCTATGTTCAGACTGAAGACATGCCCCTCAATTCTTCCCTATGCCCGGGAGAGGGTGCGGTGGACTAGAGATCTAACCTAAGAGAACCTAAGGCTCTGCCGGCCAAGTCTGCGTGCCAGCAGCACTGCTGCCCCCTGCAGGCAGTTCCTCGCTATTACGGAAGAGCTCAGTGGGCTGCGACATACTGGAAAGCAGTCACCTACCCCATCGCAGCAGAGGGGGCTCCAGGATTGTTCTTCAGTTCCTGCACGTTTACCACTTGAGGGACGTTCTTCAGAGTTGATTCAGTCAAAGTACTTACAGCTATTTAAAGAGAGAGGAGAGGGGCATGTTAATTGCCGTACAGGATCAAAAATTCCAGCCATATATAAATGCACAACCAGGACACGAATTCAAGCAGTAATCTGATTACGTAAAGGAAATCTACTCTGGGTAGTCCTGCAGCTCTGTGATCAATGGGCCGGCCGGCCTACTCCATTCACAAAGATTATGGGATGAGGCTCTGTGCAATTTAATCAGACGTACTATTTAAGGGAAAAAGAACCCTGGCCAGCTTTTAAAGGGTGGAGCTGCGGCACCTGCCACATTGTTGGCTCATCCTGAAAAGGGGCGGAGACAGTAGGAGCGTAAGAGAGTAAGAGAGTAAGAGCGGTGTTCAGGTTGAGGATTTCTGCCACCCACCCGCCCACCCACCCAAACATTCTTTCGCACGGGCGGCTTATCACCAGATTCTTTTAGGTGCTGGGAATACAAAAAAATGTCCAAAACCTCGTTTCTTCTCTAAAGGATCTCACGGCTTAGTGAGGCAGATGCATGAGTAAGACGGAGCTCGGGCAAGAATGGTTGGGGGAAAGGCCAAGAGCCTGAACTAACCGAATGGCAACAGGAGGGACACCTTCTTATATCTACGAGGCAGGTCAGCTTTCACGTCTTTTTTTGCCTTAGGGTTTAAAACTGCATTCCAAAACACTAACATTTTCTAAGTAACTACCAAGACGGCCCGAGCAAAGCTCCCGGGTCTCCTCTAAGCACACTTCTGGCACAGTGGAAGGCTGTGGCCGAGGTAGGACGGCGGGCCTGTGATGGTCTGCTGTCATTCCCTCCTGCAGGGAAGCGACCAGGCTCGTCCTGCCTGAGCCTGCACACGTCACCTTTCACATCCAAACGTGCCTACACCTCAGAAATGTTTGCTTCCAAAATGATAACAGAGATCACACCGTCTCCCGCTGAGTGGAACGACCCTACATTCTGGCCGATTTTAAGTTTATAAATCATCAACTCAGTCAGCTTGATCTGGGGCCTACTCAGCGCAATGCTGACCAAGATTCTGCACGTTCCGAGTAACATTTAAAGAAAACATCAGAGGATTCTATGTGTTCTGAAGGCCCAAAGGCAACTTAGAAAGCTACCTGGTTTGTGTGCTTTCATACCTGTTTTAGGAGCTTTAATAAGGGTTTTAATATTAGAACTTTTCTTAGAACGCTTTCATCACTGTACAATGGTAATCCTTTTTTGTCATAATCAGACCACTATGTCCTTTCAGTCTTTTAAAAAGAACTGTCCAAAGGGATACGTGTTCCAAGCAGTGCTAAAATCCACAACCAATTTCCTTCAACTAACACAAAAACACTTGCTTTATGGCGGAGTTTCTCGACTTCAGCAGTATTGACATTTCGGGCCTGGGTAATCCTCTGTTGTGGGGGTGTCCTGTGCACTGTAAGGTCTTTTGTGGCATTCCTGACCTCCACCCGCTAGAGGCCAGCAGCACCGCCAACTGCTGGTGAGGAATGCGGGGTGAGAAGAGCCTCCACTTGAGAACCAGTGGCTTGTACAAATTAATTAGTGGTAACTGACGCGCTCAAGGCCAACTACTTAGAAACCCTAACACAGAAGATTCTGGGTAGCCGCAAAGCATTGACAAAGTGCAAGCGCTGATTATGATTAGCTCGCTAGACTTTCCGTCTGTAAAGGCTAACCCAGCCGTCTTTAAGAAAACGCCGTGCAGCAACAGAAAGAGCACAGGGGTGGAGTCTGGGTCCTGGAACTTACTGGCTGGGTAACCGTCACCTCTCTCACCTGACATCACTCAGAAGCAAAACGGGCGCACGAAGACTCACCTCCCAGGGGGGCTGGAATCCTTATGACACTATCAGGCAATTTTTAATGGCTTAAAGCCGACACTGTTCAAAAGCAGGGATCAACAACTTCATCAGAAAACCACTTGACTGAATGCGGCGGATCTAATACCTCCCCCCAAAATGAAAACAGCGTCGGATCTAGCCTCTGCCTTCTTGGAACCCTCTCCCCAGAAAGGGGCGGGGGTGAGGGGGCTGTCCCAACGGGCCTCTCTTCTCAAGGGCAGCAGAGAGAGCCGGCTGTTGCCTGGGACCCGCCGTGCCGGCCGGTGACTGCCGAGGCTCCCGGTCAGTCTCTGCAAAGCACAGGGCAGCCGTGTTACCTGGGGCCTGACTGGCCATCTGCCGTCTCAGCGCTGCAGCAGCAGCCGCCTGGGGAGCCGAGATGGGGTGGGAAGGACCAGGTGCGCCGTGTTTCACGGTTTTTGTTGCAAGCATCGTGCTATCGGCCCCTTGAGGAATAAGTTTGCTGGTAGACGTAGACACTGAAGGAAAAAGAAACCCAAGCGAGAGAGTGGGTCAGGGAGGAGTGCACAGAAGTGGAGACAGCAAATCCCCCAGTGTGAGGTCGCAGGGAAAACGCGAAGGTTGAAGATGCTTCGGCATAAACACACGAAAGTACCGATAAACTCCCAGGCTGGCGCCTCGATGCTCCAAACGTGCCGCGTGCCGTGTGCCTGCTCGACTCTGCCAGCTACAGCACTTGACACAAGCATCTCCTCTGATACAGACCGAGACAGAACTTATAGGCCAACAGAGGTCAAGGCCTCACTCTCCTCTCATAAAAATCTCTCCATTCCAGCACCTCCCGATCGGTAAGTGCTTGTTCCCTGTTAGAAGTCACTTCAGTGTGGGGTGCTCGGCGGCTCAGTCGGTTGAGTGGCTGACTCTTGATTTTGGCTCAGGTCGTGATCTCATGGTTGTGAGATCGAGCCCTGTGTCGGGCTTCATACTGAGCATGCAGCCTGCTTAAGCTCGCTCTCTCTCTCCCTCCCTCTGCCCTGCTCACGAGTGTTCTCTCTCAATTTCACTTCAGTGTGAAATCCTGACACTCTGGAATGGAAGGTGTGACAGTCCAGTAGTGGTCACCTCTGTGAGCCAATGCTGGGGCAAGCATGGCAGCTGGCAAGGTCCAGGGCAGAATATGGCTAAAATAATGAGCTGAAACGAGCCAGGATTTGAAAGGCATGAGTTACGGAGATGTGGCTTTAGAGTGAGGCAGACAGCCTCCTCCTCTTACACCTGAAACCACCGTTTTTGTTGTTGTTGTTTTTATGTATGCTTATATATAATCTCTACACCCAACATGGGGCTTGAACCCCCGACCCCGAGATCAAGAGTCGCTCATTCCACCAACTGAGCCAGCCGGCCGCTCCAACACCTATTTTAGAAACACAAGCTAGACTCAACAGGAAAGCTGTGTCAGCGTGAGCCCGGCGGGGTCCCTCCTTCCTACCTCTTTCAAGGGGACCCACCTCCCTTGAATTTGTCTTCTCATTTCTGAAACACTAGCAGAGATGGGCTGGACTGGACTTATGGGGGTGACAGTGGCACGTTTCCTCCATCGGACACAAACCTCACAGGGATCTCACCGCTTACTTACCTGAAGTTCCCATCACGCCGGGCGAACCATGAATCAGGTGAGATTTGGCAAAAGGCGCTGCCTGCGGCAAGACGCCGGGCTGGATGGAAGGGGTGCGAACCACAGGCGCGTGCCGAGGGGCCTGCACCGCCGCGTCTTCGTCCTTACAGGACGCCCGCGTGTCTTCGCTCTCCAAAGACTGGGACACGGACGACGTGGAGCTGGCTTCGTCCAAGTCTTCATAGTATCTCTGCGACAGGAAGGCTGACCGAGACAGGCTGGCTACCAAGCCGAAACAAACACAAGAGAGACGGTTCAAGCAAGTCTGAGAGCTATGTTACTTTCACTGTCGACAGAGAACTACCCAGTTTAAAAACACTTTAGCAATGACTTATTTTAAGTGGAAGAAGCCGTGGTGGAAGGTGAACACATATGGTTTTGGGTCTTTGCTCAAATGAAGCTTTGAAAACCCGAGCTGCGTAGGACGGGAACATTTGGAGTGTCGAACAAACAACAACAAAAAATGTGAAGTAAGAGACGAAATAAATGCAAATGCAGGAGACCTCGAGCCCCCTGGTACAAACCAAGGAAAGTACCAGACAAGCGTCCACCAAAGAGTCACTTTGCAACAACAAAGTTTTAAGAACAGGCGTCGCACGAACTGGGAAGACTGAATGTCCTCAGTCCCGGTGCCTCCAACATGCCCAACCATCGGCTGATTCTTTTGAATCAATTAGGTTTAAAAAAAAAAAAAAAGTCACTGAAATTAATCCTGACTTTTCCCGCTTTTTCTTTTCTTCCTCCTGTTAAGCGATGAAGGAAGGCTTCCTGCCGTTTTGGAATACATTATTACTTCCTGTATACTAGAAAAACCATACACCAAACAAAAGACCCAGCCCTTTCGCAAGTTAAGACCATTGCTAACATCTACTGACTTCCTGCCTTACAGGCCCATCACTCCGCAAGATCTTGTCGTAATAAGCAAATACAACCGAAAACCATCGCTACCTGCTGGGACTGCCGCACTCGTCGATTTGGTGGCCGTGAGCCAAATGGGACTAGGTGAGACAAAAATAATTGAAAGTAATTTAATGAAAATTTCGAGTTGTCAGCTTCACCAGCCACGCAACAACTACGTGTGGTTACCATACTGGAGTGCACAAATATAGAATATTTCTCTGGTCGATGAAAGTTCTACCGGACAGCACTTTGCCAGAGTATTTTCGTGCACGTACTTCTGCAACAGGGTCACTTAGAAATACCATCCCAAACCACCAGCACTGCTAGTAAAACTGCAGTGTGTATTTCCCGAGACCGTACTTGGTGCAGGTGCCGTGAAAGGGATCTATATAAATTATCCCCTTTAATCCTAATAACTACCCTAGAAAGTAAAAATTGCTATGATTGGACTTTATAACTAATGCTTAGAAAGGCTGGGGTGCCTGGGCGGCTCAGTCAGTTAAGGACCCGAATCTTGGTTTCAGCTCAGGTCATGATCTCACGGCTTCTTCGTGGGTTCAGGCCCGGCATCGGGCTCTGTGGTGGCAGCGTGGAGCCCTCCTGGAATTCTCTCTCTCCCTCTCTCCCTCACTGTGCCGTCTCTGTCTCTCTCAAAATAAATAAAAAACTTGACCACGTTCTAAACAATATCACATAAGACTGAACCCTGTGTGAGGCAGAACTGTGACCCCATGACCTTTGCCCCTGGTTCCACACCCATAAGGTTATGCTTTGTCAGACGGCAAAGGGATGCTGCAGACATAATTAAGGTTACTCATCAGTGGGTCTTAAAATAGGAAGGGTAGCCTGGATCATCCAGGTGGGTCCAATGTAAAATCTCACGAGCATTTAAAGGCAGAGGAAGTCAGAGAGCTGAGGCATAAGAAGACCGCGCTCTCGCTGGCTTGCAGATGAAGGGGCTGGGAGCACATGGCAAAGAAACACGGACATCAGTCCTACAGCTGCAAGGAACTGAATTCTGCCAGCAAGTGGAATGAGCTTAGAAGCGGACTCTTCCCCAGAACCTCCAGGCAAGAGCCCAGCCCAGCCACCATCTTGACTTCTGCCCGGGAGCCTTGAGCAGAGGACACAGTTGAGTCCTTCTGCGCCTGGACTTCTGCCCCACACATCTGTGATGCTTTCAGCCACTAAAGGTGGTGCTTTCAGCCACCAAATCCGTGGTAATTTGTAACAGCGTGTGCAGAAAAAAAATACAACCTCACATTTTCTTAGGGCCACCGTGCTCTAAAAGAGTTCTCTAAAATCTTGGTTCCCGAGAGGTAATAGCAACAAAAGACGATTCACATCCACTGCCTTCAAGAACTGGATAGAGAGAGAGACTGACATTACTGCGTAACTCCCAAGGTCTGATATAACCCGGGAGACCTCGCAGTTTCCTCCTTCATCATCGGGAGGCCATTCGCTGACCTTGGATGGAGAGAGAGCCACTGGATGAGACATACAAGGGCTATGCTCACTCGCAGAGGCCAGGAGGCTGGAAGGCCCAGTCTCCCAGCGGTGCTGTCCTCATAGCTGATGTGAGCCGCTCCCTGCTGGGCTCAAGGATGCAGCTACCTCCTGGCATGAGAAAAGGGGCCCACTGAAACCTAAAGAATCTTTTTCTGCTTAAACTCCAACTCAGATTAGAAAAGGCAGAATGCCATGTCAAGAGAAAAAAAGAAAGACCGAAATCATTATCGGTAGATGCAAACGTCCCATCTCATGGGGAACATGCAGAAAGTGTCCCCTTTGAGCTCAAGACAAGGATGCCCACTCACCACTGAAATAAGGGAAGAAAAAATAAAGGAACAAGAAAGTAGAAACAAAAGTGTATCTATGGAGACTATAACTATTCCCATAGAAAGTCCAAGAAATAGCCACAGACATTATTTGAATAAATGAGTTTAGCTAGGCTGCTGGATACAAAATCAAACATAAAAAAATCCAATATATTTCTATTATCACATCTAACATAAAACATAAAATGAAATTTAATGAAAAAAACCCACCATTATAAGAACATCAAAAATACGAAACTCTAGGGGCGCCTGGGTGGCGCAGTCGGTTAAGCGTCCGACTTCAGCCAGGTCACGATCTCGCGGTCCGTGAGTTCGAGCCCCGCGTCAGGCTCTGGGCTGATGGCTCAGAGCCTGGAGCCTGTTTCCGATTCTGTGTCTCCCTCTCTCTCTGACCCTCCCCCGTTCATGCTCTGTCTCTCTCTGTCCCAAAAATAAATAAACGTTGAAAAAAAAATATGAAACTCTATGAATAAATCCAATAAAAGATGTGTATGTCCGTCATGAAGAAAACACTGAGAAATTAAAGACCCCACTAAACACACACCATGTTTAGGAACTGAAAGATCAACACTGTACAAACATCAATTTTCTCAGGTCAGTCTAGAGATTTTATGCAATCCCAATCAAAATCTCAACTTTTCTTCTAGAGTTGAGGGATACAGAATTTAGCAAGACAATTCCAATATTAATATGGAAATGGAAAGCAAGAGCCAAAGCAATCTAGATCACAGGTCAGCAAACTAAGACCATGAGGCAGCTACCTGTTTTTATAAATAAAGTTTTATCGAAACACAGACAAGCCCATTCATTTGTATACTGTGTATAGCTGCTTTCTCATCACAAGGGCAGAGTTGAATCAGGTACAACAGAAATCATGGGGCCAGCAAGCCTACTATATACATATATATACATATGTGTATATACATATATTTTTTACATTTGTCTATTTTTGAGAGAGAGAGAGAGAGAGAGACACCCAGCGTGAGCAAGGGAGGGGCAGAGAGAGAGGGAGACACAGAATCTGAAACAGGCTCCAGGCTCCGAGCTGTCAGCAGAGAGCCCGACGCGGGGCTCGAACTCACAGACCATGAGATCAGGACCTGAGCCGAAGTCGGATGCTTCACCGACTGAGCCACCCAGGCGCCCCTTTACTACCTAGACCTTTAAGAAAAAAAGTTTGCCAACCCCTGTCCTAGACTGTGGAGCTTTCTGTGATGACGGCATCACTCCATCTATGTTTCCTGTCAAAATAAACACTAGTCACATGTGCCTACTGAGCACTTGAAATGTGGCTACTGGGTTTGCGTAACTGAATTTTTAACTTTAGTTTTTATTAATTTAATTTAAACAGCCTACTGTATTAGACAGCACAGCTTCAGAATTTAGAAAAAGAACAGTAGTACTGAGGCTTTATTTTTGTAGGAGTTAATTAAGGCAACGTAGTAGCAGTGGTTTCTAACCAGTGTATGAGACCAACAGACCTGCACACAAGGATAACTGATTTATAACAAAGGTGGCCACAAAGCAGTGAGGAAAGGAGTCCTTTCAATAAATATTATTGGGATGATCAGCTAGCTAAATACAAGACATGTATGTCTCAGGCACAAATCAATTCCAGACAGTATAAACAAACATGGTACCTGCACACAATGGATAACTATTCCGCGACGAAAAGGAATGAGCTACTTATGTATGTGTGCATCACGGGGGAACCTCAAAAACACACTAAGTGAAAGAAACCAAACAGAAAAACTAGATGTGATCCCATTTATATGCAATTTCCAAAAAAGGAAGATCCACACAGAAGGAAAAGACATCAGTGGCTGCCGGGGGCAGAAGACGGAACGACCACAAAGAAGCATGAGAAAACTTCCCGAGGGGTGCAGGTGTTCCCAAACTGGAATGTGGTGACAGCGATACGATTCCGTAAGTTTTAATAAAAATTCTCAAACTCTATGCTTATAGAAGATGAATCTTACGTAAACCATACCTCAATACCATCGCTCAGAAGAAAACCAATTCCAGGTGGGTGGTAAATCTAAATCTGCAACACAAAACATTAACATTTCCAAACAATGAGAAAAGTGCGTGCATACTCTTGTTACCCCGTCCTGTAGAAGGATTTCTCAAACCGAACACGGAAAGCACCAACTGCCCAAGAAAAGGCTGGTAAGTCTATTTTAAAACTAAGCGCTTCTGTTTTTGCCAAAAGACATCACCGAGAGGGAAACAGGTAACAGAGGGAGTCCCCACAACCCATATAACCACAAAGGGCTGGTATCCAGAATGAATAAAAAGTTTTACAAATCAGTAAGACAGATCACCCAATAGGTAAATGAGCAAAGATGGCGTCACACACTTCACGAAAGTCAACTATTAACTAAATATTTAGTAACACGTAAAAGGGTTACACCTGAGTTTCAAAGGAAAAAAAACTGACAGTATTAAGCTTGGCAAAGATGCAGAAAACTGAAATAGTTTTACTTTGATGGTAAGAGTAAAATAAGCTGGTACAACCACTTTGGAAAACTGCACAGAAGAATCTACCAAAGCCGAGCGTGCGGACAGAGTACAAACCACTTCCATTCCTAGCCATGTGGCCAAGTAAGAGGAGGACGTATGTGCCCCAAGGACATGCACAAAGATGTTCAGAACAACATTCTATTCCATCAGCTAAAAACCGCAAACACTAAATGCCCACTAAGAGGAGAATGGATGAACAGATGCGGCACATTTATACAGCCAAATACCACATAAACAGCCACAAAACCAATCACAGCCTCCCGTGACGACTGAGGACTCTTACAAACCTGCTGTGCAAGAGAAATCCATCCAGAGAATAAATGAATGGATGGAGACAGCAGGCAAAACCCTCAAAAACCAGGCAAAACCAAACGACAGTGTCTGGGGAGACAGGCTCCAGGTAGTAAAGCTCACAACAAGAGCCAAGTTAAGGAGATTAAAGAGAATGACAACTTCACGCAATGTCCAGCCCTAAACCGGATCCTTGATTTAAAAAAAAAAAAGAGTTGCCATGAAGGCCCAAAGAGGGACAGCTGGCAAACCGTGAGTATGGACTGCATATTGGTAACAGTGTTCTGTGAATGTTACATTTCCTACCCCTGGCCACTGTATTATTGTGTAAGAGAATATCTTGCTTTTAAAGGACACATGCTGGTTAATTTAGGAGTAACGAGTCCTATCTGCAACTTATTTTCAAATAGTTCGTTAAAAACAATAGAAAGACCTGTACTCTAAAAATTACAAAACACTGACGAAAGAAATTGGAAAGAACACAAAGAAACAGAAAGACGTTCCATGCTCATGGACTGGAGGAACAAATAACGTCAAAATGGCGATACTACCCAAAACAATCTATACATTTAACGCACTCCCTATCAAAACACCAACAGCATTTTTCACAGAACTAGAACAAACAATCCTAAACTTTGTATGGATCCACAAAAGACCCCAAACAGCCAAAGCAATCTTGGAAAAGAACAACAAAACTGGAGGCATCACAATTCCAGGCTTCAAGGTATATTACAAAGCTAAAGTAATCAAAGCAGTATGGTAAAAAAAAACAAAAAACAAAACAAAACAAAAAAACACACCAGAACAAAACAAAAATCCAAAAAACAGTATGGTACTAGCACATTAAAACAGATCACACAGACCAATGGAACAGAATAGAAAACCCAGAAATAACCCCACAATTATATGCTTAACCTTTGACAAAGGAGGAAAGAATACACAATGGTAAAAAGACGGTCTCTTCAACAAATGGTGGTGGGAAAGCTGAACTATTTTAAAATAAACTATTTTATTATACTACACACAAAAATAAACTCAAAAAAAGGGAGCCCAGGTGGCTCAGTTGGTTGAGCGTCTGACTCTTGATTTCAGCTCAGGTCATGATCTCAGGTCACGCTCTGTGGACTTGAACCCCATGTTGGGCACTGCGCTGACAGCGTGGAGCCTGCGTGGGATTCTCTCTCCCTCTCTCTCTGCCCCTCTCCTGCTCATGTGTGCACACACACGTGCTCTCTCTCACAAATAAATAAAATTAAAAACAATAATAAACTCAAAATAGATCAAGGACCTAAATGTGAGACCCAAAGCCATTAACAATCCTAGAAGAGAGCACAGAAAGCAATTTCTTTGACATCGGCCATAGCAACATCTTTCTACACAGGTTTCCTGGGGGAAGGGAAACAAAAGCAAAAATAAACTACTGGGACTACATCAAAACTAAAAGTTTCGCCAACAAAACTAAAAGATGACCTACGGGACGGAAGAAGATATTTGCAAATGTACCTGGTAAAGGATTAGTATCCAAAATCCAAGAACTTCCACAAGTTGACACCAAAAAACCCCAAATAATCCAATTAAAAAATGGGCAGAAGACATGAACATTTTTCCAAAGAAGTCACACGGATGGCCCACAGACACATGAACAGATGCTCAACATCACTCATCATAAGGAAAACACAAATCAACACTACAACGGGGTATCACCTCACACCTGTCAGAATGGCTAAAAATCAAAAACACAAGAAATGAGCGTTGCTGAGGATGTGGAGAAAAAGGAACCCTTGTGCACTGTTGGTGGGAATGCAAACTGGTGCACCCACTGTGGAAAACAGTATGGAGGTTCCTCAAAAAATTAAAAATAGAACTACCCTACAACCCAGGAATTGCACTACTGAATACTTACCCAAAGAAAAACAGTAATTCAGAGGCATGTGCTCTTACGTTTACTGCAGTGTTATTTATAATAGCCAAATTCCAGAAAAAGTCCAAGTGTCCATTGACAGGTGAATGGACTAAGACGACGTGAGGTGTGTGCGTGCTGCGTGTGTGTGTGTGTGTGTGTGTGTGTGTGTAGAAACATAAAAAAGAATGAAATCCTCTAAGGACCTCGTATAAGCAGAATTATACGGTATTTGTCTTTTCGTGACTGGCTTCTCTCTCTTAGCACAGAGTCCTCAAGGTATTCTTTAGATTAAAAAAAAAGCTACTAAGAATTCTCTGGTCTCTTTTTACCTAACTCAACATTATATGATTAGCGAAAAATTAATAAATCATGGTACAGTAAAGATTAAATTTCCTTTTTTTAAAAAAAAAATTATTTTTGAGAGAGAGTGTGCAAGACGGGGAGGGGCAGACGGAGGGTGGGGTAGACAGAGGATCGAGAACAGGCTCTGGGCTGAGAGCCCGATCCAGGGCTCAAAGTCACAAACCGTGAGATGATGACCTGAGCCAAGGTCGGACGTTTAACCAACTGAGCCACCCAGGAGCCCCTAAATTTCTTTCTTCTATTTTAATTACCAAAGAGCACCTGTTGGTGTAAAAATTTTCAACTCAAAACAGAATTTCAAAGAAAAAAGCAGATATGGGCACTAAAGCAAAGCAAAATTATGTATGAAATTACACATGACAAGTATTTTTGAAAGAAAAAAATGGAGACAATAAATCTAGATAAGTTAAGGGAAAAAAATAGTGTTTCATAAGTCACAAAGCTTCTTTCCAGGCAAGTGCGATTTCACTGTCATTCCCTCACCAGTAGTTTCTTTATTTAAGTGATTTTTCTCTCCCCCAAATGCAATTCTACTAAAACCCCACACAAAACAGAAAAGTAAAACATCTCCATACAAAGTGGAGACTTGGATCCCTAGAGCCAGCGCAGTCTCCTCCGAACCCTTGGGAATGACCGCCACCTAACCTAAGGACTGCAGAATACGGCGTCAAAGCCAAAACGACGACCTCCAACTGCCGTGTCCTGTATGGATAAGCTGCTCCCTACTCCGATATTCAGATGGACAACAGATTCTGGGGACATGTTCTCTATTTCCTATGAAGAACTAAAGGAAAACACAGACACACAGACCCCCATCCTACTTCCATACCAGGTACTGCGTGTTTTAGGCTAAAAAATTCAGGACCTTTACCTGGAGCGGTGGATCTCACTGGGGGCGTCTTCCTCTTGGCCAAGAAGTTTCTCAGTTGTGCTTGTTTCACGGGGGACAGTTTGGCTGCAAGAAATTCAAGAACCGTTAAGTACTTAAGACTTGGTTTTTTTAAGGTGTCAACAGAGAGAACAGACAGGTGAAGACGGAGAAGGTGTTTACCCGGCACTCTGGGCAAGGGCTTGGTGTGGGATTCTATGCTGGTTTTCAACAAGGCATTGCGGAGACTTTCGAGGTCACTGTCAAAACTGAAAAGAGGACAGGGTTACCTACAAACCGACTACGACCTGAGAAATCTCCCCGAATATAAATGCCAGAGATGAGAGCATCCCTAATATAGAAACAGGAGATCTGAGCCATCAGTGTAGTCAATCCAAAAGGAGACAGATTCCAACCTTCCCCCGACCAGCAAACACAGCACCAACAGTGCTTCAGCACAAAGCGCATTTGGCCCAAAGGCACAACCACAAAATCCCCCTAGGAACTTCAGGGGAAAACTGTCTAACTGTCGGGTCTGAAAGTTTCTGCTCAAAGTGACAAGTCTTGAGTTTCTAGAAAAGTTTGTCAACCTAATTCTGCCAGTTAATTTTCCTTTTTAAAAAATGTTTATTTTTGACAGAGAGAGAGAGAGAGAGAGTGTGTGTGTGTAAGCAGGTGAGGGGCAGACGGGGGGCGGGGGGGGGGGGGGCGGGGGGACAGAGGATCCAAAGCAGACTCTGCACAGACAGCAGAGAGTCCGATGTGGGACTCAAACCCACATAACGTGAGATGATGACCCGAGCTGAAGTCAGACACTTAATGGATTGAGCCACCCAGGTGCCCCCCTACCAGCTGATTTTCAAAAGAACAACACTATTTCTGTAGAATCTGCCGTCATCTGGGGCGCCTGGGTGGCGCAGTCGGCTAAGCGTCCGACTTCAGCCAGGTCACGATCTCGCGGTCCGTGAGTTCGAGCCCCGCATCGGGCTCTGGGCTGATGGCTCAGAGCCTGGAGCCTGTTTCCGATTCTGTGTCTCCCTCTCTCTCTGCCCCTCCCCCGTTCATGCTCTGTCTCTCTCTGTCCCAAAAATAAATAAACGTTGGAAAAAAAAAAAAAAATCTGCCGTCATCTATTGGCACCTGTTTCATCAGGCACACTTAATTTCACTCTGCTAATCCTCTGACGGAGGTATTGTTACCTCCATTTTTTTAGGATCAGAGAGGGTGAGGAACCTGACCAGGATCCCACAGGTGACAGCAGAGTCACTTTCAAACCCACATCCGAACTACAACTTTTGCACCTGACTCCCGAGCAGTTACCCGTTCCTTCACCCACATTCATCGAGTGCCAGTGGCATTGCCGGGCCTGTTTTCCCGCACACCTGTGAGGGCTGCTCTGGGAGCTAACGTCCGAGGGGAGGCTCCACTGGGAGGTCTGGTTATAGAGACGGAGCTGCTGGAGACTGTCCACCAGTTGGTTCAACCTCTTCCTCTGCTGGTTGATGATTTCCCGGTTGTTGGCGAGGGTGTTGAACAGCGTCTCTCGCTCCGGGACCAGCAAGCGCCTGGTGACGGCAGAGAGGAAGGAATTCAGCGTGAATGGTCCAAGTCCCACGACTGTAACAGTGAAAGTATAAAATGGAGAACATCCAGGAGACAAGCAGCGTCGGGGAATTACCAGAACATAAAAAGAGGATGAAAGCTGTACAAAGATGATACAGATAAAGGAACAAGCGGCTGAGGGTGAGCAGGCCAGGCCTGCAGCAAAGGACGGTGTAACCAGACAAAACCTCACGGAGGTTCTCGACAAGGGTGGGAGGCAGAGTCAAAAGTGAGGGCAAGGAGGAGCACGTTCAGCTACACACTCAGGGTTTGTGTGGTTTTTTGTGTGTAAATTATACTAACAAACAAAGCCTGGGGTCCACCGGAGGTCTATGGGGAGGTCACGTCTCCAGCGTGCTATCAAGAAACACTGGGATTAAGCACGCAGTGTAGCAGCAAGGGGATAGCCCACCTCAAAGAGCTCAAACAAGAAAGGAACAACAGTCCCTTTCTTTCTGGTGACAAGGCAGTTCAACATAAATTTCTAAAAAGGCATTTCAGTAGGGTACAAGGTAATATTTAGAAGGGCTTAAAAACAGAGATGCACCAAAAAAACTATACAGATTTAAGAACTTAAACTCTGCAGAAAGGGAAGTTTAAAAAAAAAAAAAAAGGCACGTGAAGGAGAAAATCCATAGGGTTGTCATAAAGGAGAAGAGAGTCTGGTTTCTCCGTTACCATCATGCACTTTTACAAAAGCCAACTTCTTAATTAGCAAAGAGAAATCCAACAAGATTCAGAACAGAATGTTCCTGCTGTCGGGTCAAGCCATTCTCTCCCATGTGCTTGAACGTGAATTCAGAACCAGGGCAGGGAGTGTGAAACCTCGAATGGGGCCCCACTGCCCAGGGGACAAGTGCTCCAGGCCAGAGGCCACGGAACCCTCCCCCTGACCGGCATCCGGAGCATCAACGCTCACCTCTACCTTCCCTGATCTGTGCTCCAAACGGAGGCATGCAGGTCAGGTACGAAACCTTCCTCCACACTGTACGATGCAATGTATTAAATTCTGTTTACTGAATTTTAAGCACATTCGGGCCCTGCCCCTGACATCACACCCAGGTTGCCCCACTTACAAGTTCTGCGATCCCATAGCTTCATAAACGAGTAAACAGATCATTTCCCAGTTTGTTTCCTTACAGGGCTAATCACACTAATCAAGTGTAGGTGTTTCAAAAAGCGAGCATTTTGAGGGCCAATCTGTTTCTCGGCTTTCCTGTGGGCACTTCACTGTTCTCACAATGTACTGCTTTCTGTTCCTTAGGGAACACAGAGGGCCTACAGCCAAACATCCGGGGAGAGAGGACCAGGGTAGGACAGCGTTCTCCTGTGCCTTTCTTCCCTTCCTTCCTTGTAAGTCATCCACACTAATTAGGAATGCTTCCTCAACAAGATTTGGAATATACAGAAAAGCAGAGAAGTTCCCCTTAACCCCATTCGCAGCTGTAAACGAATATGGTGACAGATTTCTAGCCTTTTTTCTACACTGAGACCTCCAAACTGAGATCATCCAGTATGGTTTTTGTCTTCTCCTTTCCCATATTTTATATATCGGATCTAACAATTATCATTATGCGATTATTCCATGTATTTCATGTCACACACAACGCGTATTTAATGATTTTCTGACAACATGCTACGCAGCGGTCACACAGAATTCTGTGACCGGACCCACGGGGTGGCTCCTCTAACTTCTAGATACTAGGTCACGTCCAATTTCTCGCTATCATAAATCGTGCCGCGACACACACTCCTCTATGTTGATGGTTGTGAGAGCTGCTATTATTTCTGTAGAACAAGTTTCTAGAAATACGGTGACTGGGTCGCAAAAAATAAACACCTGTAGGGTTTTGGATCCATGTTCCTAAACCATCTTTTAAAAAGCCTACAGCAGTATCTCCTGCCACCCAGGGTGGATGAGGGACCCTGCTCACTTTTGTTTTCTCTTTTGTTCCAGATGCCGATCCCATTCCAAGTCCAGCACGTCATTCACATCTTGGACGGCAAATTTCACATACTGATGGAGGCGCCGGATCTCCTACAAGGAAAAAAAAAAAAAATGAGAAAGCAAATGACTCTGTTTTCCAGGAGCCTGGAGGGAGGTGCACCAAAACAATCAAAATAATTTTGCAAGGTGCTTCCACTAAGAACCAGAAGGAACAAAGAAAATACAACAGGCTTTAATCGAATCATCCGAATGGCGTGATTAAAACGAACAACGGCACTCAACCTTTTAACCGTGACAGAGAGGCGGCACAAAGCAACGGGAAAGAGATCGGGCGTGCCGGTCTAGGGCTCCAGGGAAAACGCTGTGGCTCATTCTCTCATTTGTCAGCTCCTACAGAGGAACTCAACATGCGCTGGGAATTTTCCACTGCACGCTGCTGCTCAGACAGCGCACCCGTGTAGGTTTTGCTCTCCCGCCCGTGAAATTAACTGTAACACAGGCAAAACTATCCTACAAGAGCGCCGCAGGTAATTCTGAACCTGCCTGTTCACCGCACAGGACCCGTAAGTCTTCCTACCGGTGGAGAAAAACTCCCCTCTTCTCAAAGGGGAGTATCAGCAATAGAAACAGAATTGACCATCACCAAACTTCACATCTATTCATCTTAGACCTGCAGTAGTTTTCTTTAAGTTTCGATGCAGAGTTAACCTTCATGGCTATACAACCACATTCTCGAAAATAAAAAGTAAAATGAAGATAAAGCATTCCCTTAAGCACATACACAAAGGCAGGCAACGTGCGATACACCGGGAGTCATCTTTACATCGGTACAAAGTTCGTACCATGTTTCATTTTAAAAATTACTCTGGGGTAAGGGTATATGCCCCAACTGAAAGAGAGCAAATGTCATTTAAAAAGAGCCAGGCTGGGGCGCCTGGGTGGCTCAGTCGGTTAAGCGGCCGACTTCGGCTCAGGTCATGATCTCGCGGTGTGTGGGTTCGAGCCCCGCGTCGGGCTCTGTGCTGACAGCTCAGAGGCTGGAGCCTGCTTCGGATTCTGTGTCTCCCTCTCTCTGACCCTCCCCCGTTCATGCTCTGTCTCTGTCTCAAAAAAATAAATAAATGTTAAAAAAAAAAAATAATTAAAAAAAAAAAATAAAAAGAGCCAGGCTGATCCCAGGGAGAAGTAGCAGTGACCCGAGCAACAAATATAAGTTGCAACTCCCTGCTCGATGGCGGCAGGGAGGCCTTCTTCTCTGAGCACAAGGGTGACTTTGCCTCTGTGAGCTCACTAGCATCGTTTCTTCCAAGTGTCCTCCCACTCTGTCTACCAGAAAAGCGAGCTTCTCTTTCAAGGCCTGTCATAGATACTTCGTTTCTGTGGCTTAGCGGCTCCCTCATCTGCAATGCCATAGCAACACGTCCCGCGTCATATTTATACGTTCCCTTTTCCACTGCCACGCACCCAGCCACCGGGACGGCACGGCACAGCACAGCGGTGAAGAGCGCAGGCTCTGAGCCACACTCAGGGTCCAGCATTTATTCGTGGGGACACTCGGGCAGTTCCAGTATCTGTTTCCTTCTCCCCTTCCGTACACGGCATATACTGGATAAGTGCTATTATTATCTGCTTAGTACTGTGAAAAGAGAAAAGCATCTCCTTTTGAATGTCCCCCCAGAGCTGCGTGCTTTTCTTCCAGTTTGGACACAGGGCAAGAGGTGAAAACGCACGTGACAAGCAAGCGTATCTGGACGCAACACGGAGGGGGTAATCTGAGGAGGGGCAGGCAGGGAGTCTGCTTTCTCTGAGACGGTAAACATCCACGGTCCTCCAGCGATACCACAAGGACTGAGGGACACCGCAGGGGTCCTTCAGCCTCTCCAGGACAGGACCATTTCGCTCATTTCCTACTATAGTCAGTTTACCAGGCGTGACACAGAAATGGCAGACAGTAGAGTCCACAGCCTCCAACCCTCTGAGGCAGGAGGGGATTCAGCCCGGTCACAGACCTCACATCCTAGGTGAGGAAGACCGGAGCGGCCACCCGTGCACCCTTCCCTACCGGGACCCTGGGCAAATGCGAGGAGGCAGGAGGTGACCCCGCTAAGGCTGGAGACACAACAATTTTCAGCAAATTGGAAGATGAAAACAAAAACCAGATTTCGCTGCAACAGAGAGTAAGAATAATTATGAACGGATGAGAGAAGTAACCTTGCTGAAGTCCGGTGTACGGGAAAGGGCCCCAGCAAGTGGAGCTTTCCATCAGGTTCCACTCGAACTAACAACATCACCATGGGCAAACTCAGCCCAGGGGACCCAACTTCCTTATCTGCATACTGGGATCAACAACGCTCACCTTGCGGAGCAGCGGGTTTTGAAGTCCAGAAATAATGTGCAAAAAACACCCAGCAGAGTATTAGCACTCAATGAGGAGTTGCTACATGAACGCTTATTCGTTATCTGATCTATAAATACGTTTTTCCCAACGGTACGCTTTCCCCCAAGCATAAAGTTTAATAAAGAATTCTGTTTGTGGGGCATCCGGGTGGCTTGGTTTGTTTGGGTGTCCGACTTTGGCTCAGGTCACGATCTCGCGGTCCGTGGGTTTGAGCCCCGCATCGGTCTCTGTGCTGACAGCTCAGAGCCTGGAGCCTGCTTTGGATTTTGTGTCTCCCTCTCTCTCTCTGTTCTTCCCCTACCTGCACTCTCTCTCAAAGGTAAATAAAGATTAAAAAAAAAAAAAAAAAAAGAATTGTTTGTTTTCATCCTAAAAAAATTAAATGGAAAAGTGCGGTTTTCTTTGTCACAGCTAAGGAAATCTATGCAAAGTAGGTAAATGATTCGCAGGAAGTTAACAACTTCATGGGGGCAGTCTTCCAAATCAGGACCTCATAAAGGAGATGGACTGGCAGAGTTGGTTTTACGAAGCTCACCTCGGCCAGGTCCTCTTACCTGGAGCTTTGCTTCGCTCTTGGGATCCAGGGGTCTCTTGTAGAGCAAGTGCACATATCCAGAGTCACAATTTCTCTCATTTTGCTCTCTGGCTTCTTCAACGCCAGCAAAGCCCTCAAGTAAGGTTGTTTTCAGGGTACTTATATCTCCATGAAGAGACTAGAAAAGGTACAAGGATGTTTTAATACAAAAAAAAATTGTGCCATTTCTAAGAAACAGACCTTTCTGCCTGGATCACGGAAGGTGGTGGTTCTCAGTTACCATGACACCCAAGTGTGAACGGTTAACAGTCACGCAAAGAAGAAATTCACTGCACGGAAAGAAAAATACCGATGCTCGCTTTTTAAAAATTAATCTTTTTCCTCATTAAAAACCCCACAGAGTCTATTGGCCAGAAACTCAGAGAAGGAGAAAAACTATTGACAGCACCTACAGTCTTACTCCCTGAAGATAATCACTGCTGACTCCCGGCAGAGCTCTCCTCTTTCGAAACACGTCAAGGGCAGGGCCCTGGAGGCAGACGCTCCGGGACTGGCATGTGGAAACTGGGTGGCTTTGGGCAAGTTATTTCACCTCACTACCCGTCAGCCTCTTGACTTGCAAGAGAGACAGAGCAAGTGGCACCTACCGAACAGGGCGGTTTGAGGATTCAGCAAGGTAACACACTGCCGGCACACGGTAACCAGGAATAGTAACACGGGAAATACTAGTAACAGCCAACACTTGATGTCTTTATACCAGACATGCTGCCCCTCAACCTCTTTGTTATAACCCAACAACTTACTACAAAATATGGGAAATTTTCAAATATACCTAAACTAGCAACCATAACGGATCTTTCGGGAATGCCCTGTAGGTGTCAACGGAGCAGAAACTACTACTATTATTCCATTTTCTCAGTCTAAAACCTGGCATAGCTACGTTAACTTGCCCAAAGTCACATAACGAAGTGCTGAAGGTAGGATCTGAACTTTGGCACTCCTAGGCAAACTACTCGTCCTTCTAAAAGCCACCACCAGCGGCCCTCACAGAATGAAGGACATACACCCACGGAGTGCTAGGAGAGCAACTTTTACAAGTGCATCAGCAGGCACAGACCTCTGTGGTCTCTTTGATCTCCAGAAGGAAAGTGTGCAGGTCGTCGGATTCCGTTCGCAGAATCTTCATCTCCTCCGAAGTGCCCACTTGGAAACAAGCTTTGGAAGTGCGGGCTTTCAGCTCTCCCAACTCCTTCTGAAAGTGTACGATCTGCAGAAGCCACGGAAGAGGAAGCCCCCCCTCAGTCCGAACGGCACGGCAGCACCGACACTGCCCCTGCGCCCTGGCAAGCACGGCCCCCTGGGAGCACCACGGCCGGACGCCGGAACAAAAGGCGCGTGCGGGGTCTGCGCTCAGAGCCGCTCCCGTCTCACTGCCAGCCCTACGGCTGGGAAAAATCTGCAGGATCGACTTTACCTCCTCCCCGATTCCAGCCATCACAGGATCGGACTCTTTCCACGGATGGCCCTGCTTTTCCGTAACAGGAGGCTGAAGTGATTTTGCCTGAAACGGAAGGCGAAAGGTTGACAGGTGCGCCCCCACCACACGTACTGATTCTTGAAGCCGCTGCTGCTTCGGCGCCTGCGCCCTCGTGATACAGTCGCCGCTCCCTCGCTTGTTCTTTCGAATCCATGCCGACCGGGTACCTACTTGGTGTAAGGCACGTGCTAGACAGTGGAGAGAGGGGTGAACAAGACGGAGGAGGGCCCTACTCTCGTGGAACTTAACGTCTCCTGGGCCAAGACAGGTAAGAAGTAAACACTTCAGCTGGGGACAGTGACATGGCAAAAGAGAAAGGGGGTGCTTCTGGAGGTGAGATGGCCCAGAACGCCCTCACCGAGCACAGTCTCTGAACTGAACCCTGAGGTAGAGCAGACAGCTACGGGACGTTCTGGGGGAAGCACCTTCCAGGCAGCGAGAAGAGCAAGCACAAAGAATGCGAGGCACGAAACACGTGTGGCATGCTGGGGGCAGAGAGTAAATGTGGGCACAATGATGTCAGGGAGGAAGGTGGAGAGGGCAGGGGTGGGTCGTGTACAACTAAAGCAAGGAGTTTGGATGTTTTTCTAAGTGTGCTGGGAAGCTTCTTAGAGTCCCAGGAGAGTTTATTCTTTGCTTTACGATTTTAAAAGATCCCTCCTGCTGTTAAATCGAGCAAAGAGATCAGTGAGAGGGAGACGAAGTAGGGAGAGCAGTCAGGAGGGTAACGACGCAAGAGAGGACAATGGCCTGAAAGATGACATTAGCAGGAGCAACAGAGATGTGGATTTACGTCACACACACACCCCACCAGAGCACAGATGACAAGTCCTTCCACTAGTAAGGACTAGGGGGAGGTTCTGTTCAATAGAGAAATCTAGAATGACTTCTCGGTTTGGAGCTTGAGCAAACGACCTGGAATGGTTGTGGGGGAGACAGAAATCAAGGATTCTGCCATACGGACGTTAGAAGACATTATAGAGATGGCTTCTAGATTATTTGATATCTGCAACAATTAACAGAGAATTTTTAGACTGCGTGAGCAACCATTAAAACAGCAAACATTTATCTAATAAATACCATGTGCCATGCACTATGCCTAACACTAGACCCGTCACCTGGGCGTTTACTGTATACCTGTATGGGTGCATGCCGTGGGCAGGATTGGGGCTGGTTGGGAAAAAGAAGCAAAAACCATGACTCCGGGCCTGAGGGCATGCAAATAATCAAGTGGGGAAAGTGACCTAAAATTCTCTTTAAGTCAAACCATAGAAATAAACTGAGGTGACAAATTATAAATCTAAATATGAAAAGTAAAATAATAAAGCTTTTAGGAAAACATAGGAAAGCATGGGGCGCCTGGGTGGCTCAGTCGGTTGAGCGTCCAACTTCAGCTTAGGTCATGATCTCACCGCTCGTGACTCTGAGCCCCGCGTCGGGCTCTGTGCCGACAGACTGGAGCCCGGAGCCTGCTTCCGATTCTGTGTCTCCCTCTCTCTGCCCCTCCCCTGCTTACAGTCTGTCTCTTTCTCTCAAAAATAAACGTTAAAAAAATTTTTTTTAAAAAGCAACAACAACATAGGAAAGAAGCTTTTGGACCCTGGAACCAGAAATGATTTCTAAAATAGAACACAAAGAGCACTCATCATAAAACAAAAGTTGATATACTGAACTGTACCAAGAACTATATTAAGTCATCAAAAGAAACCACAAATAGAATGAAGACAATTCAGAGTGAGGATGTATCTGCATTATGTGTGCGTGTATGTGCGTGTGTACCTGACAAGGAACTCTTACGAATCACTAAGACATACACCCCATAAAAGAAGATATTCAACTGGCCAAAACCATATGGAAAAAAGGCTCAATTTTAGCGGTCATCAGGAAAATATTAATTAAAATCATAAAGGACAACAATAAAAAAAATGAAAAATACAAAGACTAGTGAGGATATGGACCAGCTGAACCGCTATATACTCGCGGTGGGAATTTACTAAAGAGAAATCTATGTATATTCTATGGCCCAGCAATTCCATTCCTAGGTGTATGCCCAACAGAAATGCATACGTATGTTCACCCAAAGACATCAACTACCATGGTCACAGCAACGCTATTCGCAATGATTTAAACCCAGAAGCTCTTCAGATGTGTCAAGGGTAGAATAAAGACTTGTAGCATAGCCACCCGATGAATTCCATATAGTCACAACAATATGGATCGATTTCACAAACATGATGTTTGTAAAACCAACTCAACATTACGTTGAGCCAAACACAAGAATACATGCTGTGTTAAAAGAAAGAAAGAAAGAAAGAAAGAAAGAAAGAAAGAAAGAAAGAAAAGAAAAGAAAAGAAAAGAAAAGAAAAGAAAAGAAAAAAAGAAAAGAAAAGAAAAGAAAAGAAAAGAAAAGAAAAGAAAAGAAAAGAAAAGAAAGAAAGAATACCGTGTGAACCCATTTCAGAAAAGGTATGAACAGGCCAAACTAAGCTATGCTGTTAGAAGTCATAGCAGGGAGCTCCCTTGGGCCAGGAGAATGAGTAGAAGGGCATACATGAGGGAGAATTCTGGCATTCTGGTAATGTTCCATCTCTTCCTCCGGGGGTTGGTTGCCAAGGTGAACTCAGCTGGTGTACGGGTATTTTTCCCCCATGTGTATTATGTGTTAACAAAAAAGTAAAATAAACCAAAATCTTATGGAAAGGCACAGAAACAGAGGACCCCGGATAGATTAGTCGGTTACTTTGGAAATGAGAAAAAAAAAAAAGAAAAAGAAAAAGAAAAAAATCAGGTGCTACAGTCCTTTCAGACATAAGGAGAATACAACAAAATGACCAGCACAGCAGGGACAAGCTCAGGAACCAGAAGAGCAGACAATGTTAAGGCTCTGGGGCTGAGATAAATGGCTTTTATGCACACACATTACAAACGTTCAAGGCTCATGTTCTAGTATTTCCCGTCACGTAGTCCCGAGTACTATTTCAAAGATATGGATTCTAAAACACGAACACCCATTTTATAATAAACACATACGACTGTTCGCATGAACAAACACGGCATTGTAAGTTGAGTTTCAACATACCTGGGGAGAGCCTGACTTTGCCACTGGAGGGGTTATCCTGGGTGACTTCTGTACCATTGAGGACGCTGGGCCCGGGCTGCCCTGAGCAGATCGCCCTGCTGGAATAAGAAGGCCGTGAAAACAGCATTTCTTCCCATTCTTGCTCTCAGCGTATGTGTCCTTCACTCAAATAAAAAAAAAAAAAAAAAAAAAAAAAAAAAAGCTTCCCAGTGCCCCTGGCCCTCCTATGATTTCTGTTACTAAGAATGATGTCCACAGTTTTTATTAGCCTGTTCCAAGATAACTAAAAAACACGTATTACATTTTCAGACACGAAACTCTTTTATAAAGCAGATAAAACTGGAATGTCTCTGAAAGTAGGCATGTGCATTTTTGTGCAGGCCCAGGAGGCTGGCCATTTGGCCCATCCTTACTCCCCAGAGGCACCTGCTGCACCTCTGAGAATGAGGAACAAAGTTTAAATAATCCCATCACCTTATAAGAGCTCATAGGGTCTTCAGGACCCTCGAGGAAGCTCCTGGAAGCTTCTAGAACAAGCCTTGCTCTGCTTCACTTTAGACTCCCCTAGGGAGCATTTAAGAAATAAACACACCAAAAACTCACACCTAAACCTCACCTCCAGAGAGACTGATTGAACTGTCAGGGAAGAGATCCCCCAGTGAGTCCAGCATGCTACTGAGGTTGCGATCCAACAACCTAGGACCCTCCAAACTTAAAGAACTAAATAATGGCAGGGGGCATCTGGCTGCCTCCATCGGGTGGAGCATGTGACTCTTGATCTTGGGGTGGTGAGTTCAAACCCCACATTGGGTGTGGAGCCTACTTAAAAATAAATAAAGTAAAATTAAAATTAAACTTAATTTAATTTAAAAATAAATAAAATTTAAAAAATAAATATAAAATAAAATAAAATAAGATAAAATAAAATAAAATAAAATAAAATAAAATAATGGCAATGGAAGGGCAGCGAGATGTGGGTGGTGAGCAGTGCAAAAGGAGACTGTGGACGCTCATCATGGTTCAAATCTTCTCTCCTACACTGAAAACAGATGTGAAAAGACTAAGGCAAGTCTCCTGAACTTTCTAGGTCTGTCTTTCAGAATTTGAGGGAAAGTCCTGGAATGAGGGGATTCTGGTAAACTCCACAGAGCAGCCTTCTCTCCTGAGCAATAGGTAAGGGAGAGGATTTCACGAATTCACGGCTCAATGCCTGCTCAGGATGTTACCAAGATAACATTATTCCTGACACTCAAACACCAAATGGCTACCCAAACACGTCTGGCTAGGTATTATCTCTGGCATTGGTGAAAATAACTCACACCTGGCAAACACCATCCTAACCACATAAGCAAGGAAACATTACTCATGTCAGGACAAAATGAGATCGTGCAATGCAATACACATCACCTATGTGGTATTACCACCCCAAATGTTGAATTGGAATCTCGTCCTATGGAAACAATCAGGTCCAAATTGAGGGCCAGCTCCCTAACTACTGGCCTGACCTCTTCACGAACATCAGTGCTAAGAAAGAGGAACAGGACAAAGAAACGTGTGACACTAACACTAAAGAGAAAAAACTAAAACAGAATACGTGTTCCTTGACTGGAGAGAAAAAAGCCCTAAAGAACACTATTGGGACAACCACAGAAAGGTCAATGTGGGCTACCGATCAGATTATTCAATTTCCTGAGTGTGCTAATGTACCAGGTACCCTTGTATTTGAGAGATACACGCTTAATGTGTTTAGGGGTGAAGGGCCTGCGAAGAACTCTCCAACGTCTTAGGAAAAAAATACATGTTAAAAAATAAAGACACAAAGCAAACGGTGCAAAATGTTACCAAGCATTGCCTTGGCGAAGGGCCCAGTTTTCATTACACAATTTATGCAACCTTTCTGCAGGATGAAAGAAAAAAAGAAAGGCCAGGCACGTCTGTTCATGGAGTTTTACCACGCACTTGGATTCAACTTGGTTATGGTAACTATCACCACTTACAACCTGCGCTCAGTAAATGTGCTTACAGTAGGGATGGGTATGAAAACCCAAAGACAGTCATCAGGGGCGATAAGCTTCACAGCCACCACAGGCTTTTCCTCCTTCACGCCAACTCCACGAATTGTTCCGTAACTGCCCTTTGCGTCCGGCAGGCTGCACGGCATGACAGATGCCACGCAACGAGACGCCGCATCTGAATCGCCAAGTACACTTGGCTCCATGAGAAATGTCAGAGGGCCGAGGGTGGCAGCGTCGAGGCCACTGCAATCCTCCCCAGAGTACGGGCGTCACAGCACATTAGCGTGAGATACAGGAAGCAAGAAAAAATAATCCGGTCTGACTACGTGAGCTAGGATTCCTAACAAGTGAAACAGGCAAATGTAAGAATTCAGGGCCGATTTCCTTAAAATCATACCTGATGCCGAGGGAGAGACCGAGGACTTTGACGACACGGAGCTGGATGCCGAGAGGGGCGTGGGGTGGCTGAGAGGTCCGGAAGCAGCTGGCTTGGAGGCAGAGGGGAACGACAGCGTTGCAGGTGCAGCCTGGGAGCCGATGGCAGGGCTGGAGGGAGCCACAGCAGTGAACCTGAAACGGCGGTCCGACTGCATGAGGAGGGCCCGCACTGAGGCTCCTTCACCCTGGTCCTGACAATGCTACCAAGGGACAACTTACCGTCCCTATGCTTTTGCCTCTGTGAAACAGAAGTGTTCGGCTCTTTTTTTTTTTTTTTAATGTTTATTTATGTTTGAGAGACAGAGTGTGAGCAGGGGAGGGGCAGAGAGAGAGGGAGACACAGACTCTGAAGCAGGCTCCAGGCTCTGAGCTGTCAGCACAGAGCCCGACGCGGGGCTCGAACTCACAAACTGTGAGATCATGACGTGAGCGAAGTCGGACGCTTAACCAACTGAGCCACCCAGGCGCCCCAATGTTTGGCTATTTCTTATAAAAGGGGATCGCTCCAAGGAACCAATGATCTTCTGTGTATTCGGGAGCAAACTACTCAATGAAAATAAGTAGTAGTTGTCACCGGGCTGGTGGTGCGCCATGATCATATGGTGGTTCGTACTCTGCGTTGTGAAAATAAGTAGTAGTTAACATGAAGGAGAAATGAAGTTTATCAGGACATGAAATACTGATCTTCTATTCCATCAAGCTAAGTAAAAAAAGAGAGGCTGGGACTCCATTATTAGGAGAGGCTGGTATTCTTCTCCCAAGGAAATCACTGAGAACTCGCTTTGGGCGATCACCTCCTCTGGGGAGTGAAAAAGACGAAAGGAGATCACTGTCTTTCGGATGCTTACGGGAATGGAAAATTAAGCTTTACCCCACAGGGCAAAGTCTGTCAACAATCTAAATGTCCAGCATCAGATGACCGGCCATATAATTCACGGTACAGCAACAAAATGGAATACCAGGCAACTGTTAGGGTGAGGTGGCTGTGTGGTGACTTGATATCAACAGTGACAATGGCAGCAGCGGTGGTCACAGCCAGCACCGCGTCCATGGCGACAAGAGGTAGCAGAGATGAGTGGGGGAGGGCTGGGAGCGTTACGAGGAACAAGGGATCACTTTCATCAAGGGGCTTTGCGTTCCAGTGGGGAGAACGCAGCCAGAGACAAAGTTAAATAACAAGATAGGAGTGAACTGGGGCGGGGGGGGGGGGGGACGTACATGGAAAGGAAAGTGAAGGATCATGCTAAGGAGTTTGGACAGTCCTCGAAGAACAATGAGAAACCCCCGGGGACTCTCACGTAGGACAGTCACCTGATGTGTGTACAACTTCACAGCTTACTGTGGTGGCTGTCAGAAAGCCGTTCAGAGAGTGAAGGGCGGACACAGGGGGAAAAGGGCTATAAGAGATTCATTCCCCGCACAGGGTGTATGCTCCTTATTGCCTCATTTTGTAAAATAAGGAGTATCTCTTCCATTTTAAATCTGAAAAAGCAAAAACGATCACTTAAATATAAACCCTAATAACTTAAAAAGAAAAATTTCTAAGAGACTCTTCTGGACTCCGTCCCCTGATTAAATGCAAACCTTTTACGTTGTTTGAATTTTTACCATTTGCAAGTATTACTTTGGAAGACAGGAAAAAAGAGGAAATCTATTCATTACTCCACTCACGGTGACTATTTCCAGTGCCTAACACGTGATATTTCCATGCACGCTCCAGCAGAACCACTCTTTCTTCAAGCGCTACTTACTTCTCACTAAGGTTGACCTTGACTGCAGAGGCCGAGGGTGGGAAGGAGGGCTTCATTCCTATGTTTGGAGCAGACGCACTTGGCATCGGTGTGCTTTCCAGGGTGGGCTTAAAACCCGATGATCCAAAGGAGAACGTGCTGGCGGATGGCACCATGGGAGAGGCCACAGGGGTGGACGCTACGGAGGCTTGAGAAGGAGGAGCAAAAGAGAAGGTAGATGTGCCACAACCACTGGAATACGGAGGGGGCTCCCCTGTGGCAGAACCAGATGGCTTCAGGGACGAAGAGCCAAAGGAGAACACAGTAGGGGCTCCAACAGAAGGCAAAGAGAAGGTGGAAGGGGGAGTGGCCAGCGATGGAGGTGGACCAGAGACTGGGGCCGCAGGGCCTGGAGCGTCGAGCTTCTGCGGGGCTTGAGAGGAGGTTGGAGTAGTGGGGGTACTTCCTGCAGTGAACAAAATGGAGAAAAAGGAAGAGAGAAATTAGCACCAAAATAATGGAAGTCTACAGGACAGGGCTCGTGGCAGAATGAAGTCGGAGACAACTGTCCTAGTTCAAGAGGAAAAAAAAAAGAGAGAGAGAAAAGTGGGGGTGACAGACTTTCCGTAACAAATTTTCCACATGGGCAGATGAACAAAACTTTGAAGGGGGGGGTGTCTGGGGGGCTCAGTCAGTTAAGAGTTAGACTCTTGATTTCAGCTCAGGTCATGATCTCACAGTCATGAGACTGAGCCCCATGTTGGGCCCCGCCCTGGGGGGTGGAGCCTGCTTGGAATTCTTTCTCCCCCTCTCTTTCTAACCCCCCCAAGTAAATAAACAAACTTTAAAAAACCAGTAAATTTAAAAAAACAAAACAAAACAAAAACCCAACTTTGAAAGAAAAAGGAAACAAGGAAAGGCATTAGATTAACAGGACTTCATGGACACCCAGCTGAATCCCAGAGCAAGGGAAATGCATCTCTTAATGTTACAGTGAAAAACAAACTATTCTGCAGCATTTCATCAACAATTAGGAGAAAACTTTAAGTCAGACTTCCACTCCCACTTCATAATAGTCCCTAAAAGCAAGTCCAGATAAATTAGAGATATCTACATATATAAACACACGCATATGTACATTTCAAAACCAAGGAGGCAAAAAGTCAGAAAAATTACTGAGAGCCTAACAACTTATAATTTAGAAATGACTGAACAAAAACAAAAACAACAACAAACAAACAAAAAAAAACCACAAAGGAAAAGATTAGGGTTTGACTGCCTAGGGGCACCTAAGTGTCTCAGTCAGTTAAGCATCCAACTCTTGATCTAGGCTCAACTCAGGTCATGATATCGTGGTCCACGGGTTCAAGCCCAGCACAGAGCCTGCCTGGGATTCTGTCTCTCTCTCTGCCCCACCCCTGCTTGCTCACTCTCTCTCTCTCCCTCTCTCTCACAAAATAAATGAGTAAACTTAAAAAATATATATATATTTGACTGTCTAAAGACAGTTACATAACTAAAAGGTAACTAAACAAAAAATCTGTAGCAAACGACAATGTTTTATATTTTTTAAAAAGCTCATACAAATTGTGATAAAGAAATTTCAAGACTCTGATATAATCCAGGAACCTAATTCGCAAAATAGTACATGATTGATCAATCTGCCTAATCAAAGAAATGCAAATGTAAATGAGGCCTATTATTGATTGTTCTCTAAATGATCAAAATTTAAACATGTACAATCCCCTATGTTTGGAAGGGTAAAATAAACCTGAAACCTTTATCTCTAGGTACCTGAGCACAATCTTTTAGAAAACACTTTAGCATTATGTCTCAAAAATCATAAAAAATGGACTCATTCATCCCACTTCTAAGAATAAAGCCTACAAAAATAACCTAAAATAGGAAAAAGACATTTAATGTCTTTTTACACAAATGGTAAAAGATGTCCAATGGAAGAGTAAGCAGTCACTCTTTTCAAAGAATCACAAAGATTAAGAATGTAGGAAACACAATTTAAATTAAAAATCTATACACTAACGATGTATATGATATTTTACAACTACAAAGAAAGATGTTTATGAAAAAACACTAGAAGAGAAGACAAGTTTAAATCTTTTTCTGTTTTCCAGAACTTTCTATAAGGTAACACACTAAACTGCCAAATTGACTCGATAAGTAAGAAAGCAATATTTACTGCCCACACGTTTATATTAATGGGTCTTGATGCTTCCAAACTGAGATGGCAATTAATTTATCTTCACTACGTCAAAACGAAGACCCCAGGAAATTGTCACTTTAGCGGAAGCATAATGCAAACAAATTTATTCTGTTACTACTTCACACAATAAAGACGGAATTGGCAACTGCGAGCTTCTTTGAAGTCACAAACGTATACGTTGTTCATCGCTTCCGTGCACGTTCAGTAGACCCAAGTGAAAAGTACGTGCCAGACCCGAAAGACACCAGAGGCACTGTTCTCCCTGAAAACAGAACCGAGCACATGAAAACCCTCGTGCATTTCTGATCATTCAACCCAGCATCCGCGGAGCAGCAGAGTGGAAATGGACGGAACCGTTAATGCCTTCTGCACCCGCCACCTAGGCTTCAGCGACAGCTGCAGGCCACTCTCTCCCCCTTCGATGGCCCTCTTCCACTCATCTGGCTGTCCCCTCTGGACCAAGCGGGATGGAAGAGGGGGCTTTCTCTAGGAAAGGTGAACAGTAAAACTGGCCTCTGCTTGTGCTCGGGGGTTTAACGGGCTAGTAGCGAAGCCCTTCACAACTGAACTGTGCTCAGAAACAGACGTCACCCTGCAGGCTCCCAACTTCCCAGGGTGCACTGCTTGTCAACAGCCCGCACAACTAAGTGTAGGTAGCCTGGGGTACTCATGAGCACTTCAGGCAAAACCCACTCAAGGGTGCCTGGGTACCTCAGTCTGTTAAGTGTCCGACTCTTGATTTTGACTCGGGTCATGACCCCCCACAGTTCATGAGTTCGAGCCCTGCATGGGGCTCTGTGCTGATAGTGCGGAGCCTGCTTGGGATTCTCTCTTTCTCTCTCTCGCTGCCCCTCCCCTGCTGGTTCGTGCATGGGCGTTCTCTCTCTCTCAAGATAAATAGATAAGCTTAAAAAAAACCCAAAAAACACTCAAAGAGCACACACACTATAAACAATGAGGTCCCCTGCTATCATAGTCTATGTGTGGTGACCTGGTTTACTACTTGGGGACTCACTGCCAAGTGACAGGAGTCCAAGTGTCTTGAGTGGTTCTGTTTATGAACAACTCACTCTGCATCGGGAAGCAGCAAGAAAATACACTGTCCACCTTATCCACCCCGACTGGTCAACACGGTTTTTCTTAGATAGAGAATTGATCACACTATGCACTTCTTTAGCCAGAGAAGTCTTGAAAGTTATATATTCACAGAATTCAAAGAGAAGAGTGGTGAAATTCGACAATATGAAACACTCCCCCTTTATAAAAAGTTTTATACTTCATTCTCACAAGTGATACACTGTCACTGTGAAAAAGCTGAAAATACATATTAGTGTTTACATACGTGCATTTACATACATGAAGAATATGCACCAAAATGCAGACTATGGCTATTGTTTGATGTCTGAGGGACTCTGTTCTTTTTTTAATGTTTGTTTTTGAAAGACAGAGTGTGAGCGAGGAAGGGGCAGAGAGAGGAAGACATGGAATCCAAAGCAGACCCCAGGCTCTGAGCTATCAACACAGAGCCCGATGTGGGGCTGGAACTGGATGCTTAACCAACTGGGCCACCCAGGCACCCCCATGTATGAGGAACTCTTTTTCTTTTTTTTTAATGTTTATTATTTTTGACAGAGACAGAGAGAGAGAGAGAGAGCAAGCAAGGAAGGGGCAGAGAGAGAGGCAGACACAGAATCAGAAGCAGGCTCCAGGCTCTGAACTGTCAGTGCAGAGCCCCATGCGGGGCTCGAACTCACAGACCACGAGATCATGACCTGAGCTGTAGTTGGCCTCCCGACTGAGCCACCCAGGAGCCCCTGTCTGAGGAACTCTTAAGTGATTTTGTATTTTCTAATTTTTTGCCAATAAACGTATACTACTTAAGTAATATTTTCAAAGGGGGGGGGGAACCTAAAGAAAATTAAATATGAACAAAAAGAAAACAAAATCCCATGTTCCCACCACCCAGATAAAAACCATTATTTAGATTTTAATATACACCTTTCTAGTATTTTCCCTAAATACGTATGTATATATGTTTTTTTCTCATAAGAAAGGAATCATAAAGCATATATCACTTTTTCACAATATATTCCACTAGCTGTCAACAGATGCAGCACCAGTAACAGTTACGTGACAGCCACCGCATGCACAATCACATATTTAATCCCTCGGACGAACGTCTTTAGGGTTGAGACCTATAACACAGGGCGCTATAACAGGATATTGTTGCTAAATGACCTGATGGGATCCATTGAGCTGAGCTTCCCTTTCACCAAAGTCAAGGTCAGAGACTAAAGCTTGTGGGCAAGGGGAACCAAGGATGCGCATGTATTCAAGGAAAAGTCAGTCCCTGCCTCATGAAGACAGAACGAGTGGAGGAACAGGACCATTACACATCCCCACACAGTTTCTACCCTTGGGAATAGTCCAGAACAAGCCCACGGTACTCCCCAACTTCCAGCGCAGGAAGAGGCACGCACCTGACGACTTAGGCTGTCGCTCTCCTTCTAATGAGAGTCGCTCTGGCGTCTTGATGAGGGACCTAACCCCAGGATTTTGATTGATCATATAAAATGGACAAAGCACACCATCTGTTGAAAGCAACATAAGAACTGGAGCAGGAGGGAGAGTCTTCTCGTCATCTGTTAAGAAAGAAAACAGAAGTGAAAAAAAGAGCCAAGTCATGAAGGGCCTGGGCGGGAGGGAAAGATCGCCCCAAGCAAGAAGGGGCTGAACAGACGCATCCCAACAGTAAAGCTCAAGCCCCCGTGTTCCAATTCATATCTGAACAGTCTCTCAGGCACCAACTCATTAGAGAGAGCTACTGTCGGGGCGCCTGGGTGGCGCAGTCGGTTAAGTGTCCGACTTCAGCCAGGTCACGATCTCGCGGTCCGTGAGTTCGAGCCCCGCCTCGGGCTCTGGGCTGATGGCTCGGAGCCTGGAGCCTGTTTCCGATTCTGTGTCTCCCTCTCTCTCTGCCCCTCCCCCGTTCATGCTCTGTCTCTCTCTGTCCCAAAAATAAATAAAAAACGTTAAAAAAAAAAAAATTTTTTTAAAAAGAGAGCTACTGTCATTATTGACCGCCCCTACCCTGCTGGACCCTGCAGGGCAGTTGTGGCAGTCTCATGGCAGCCGCGACTGTCCCTAGGCTCCCGCGAGCTTTACAAGTGTGTCTCAGTGTTCACAATATTCCCCTGCCCGAGACCGGCATCTCTAGGAAGGGGCTGATCTAGCAGAAAAGTGACAGACTACAGACATTGGAAAACACACAGAAGGACGCAGAAAGGGGCGTCAAACTACTGTATGCTCATTCACAGTTGAGTCATAAGCATACAGTTTGTCAGTGAAGACTGGAAAAGAATCAAAGTAAATGAGCTAGTAAGACCAAATAACCCGACTAGGGAAAGGAGAGGAACTCAGGTCTTCCACTGCCCCTGCACATTTCGCAGCACAGGAGCTCTGCCACACTTCAGCCGGGGAGAAGACACACTCAGAGCACATACTCAGGCCCGATTTGGAAGCCAAGTGCTTGAGGTGTCCATTCTAATCTGTGTCTTCAAACCAAGCGCTGCTATGGTTTGAAGCGCGTGCGCGCGCACACGCACGCACACACACACACACACACACACACACACACACACACAGTCTGACTCGTCAAAGAGTGTCCGACAAGTTAGGCTAGTGTCATCACCAAACACTCTGTATCATTCAAGCGGAAATGGGCTACCAGAAGTTAAAAGTGCCCTGCAGCGTAGATTATGTCACAAACCCATAGAATGGGATTTAAATATCAACCGTGATCAGAAACTAAACTACATCAGACCACACTTACTGATGGTGATTTCCACTTGGTTAGTATAGTCTATGGCAACTCCCATGGGTAGTGAGTCATCACTCTTGTCTGTTACAGGCAGTTCAGCTCGACTAGAATCCTCCAGGAGCCAAGATTCCCAATTAACCTGGAAGAAAGCAGCAGAAGGTGAAAATGCTGTGTTGGTAAGAGCTCTGCGTTGGTCCTCCTACCATTGTTCAAATAGAAGAGAAGGGAAAAAAAAAACCTCTTGGTTTCGATTTCTTTGTTGACTAGAGTCGGAAATCTGGGAAGATGGTCTAAAAGCCATGAGCGTCCTAGCAAGTGAGGGGTTAATTTTCCAAATCAACCTATCTGCCCCCGGTATACCAAGTCTCTGCCTCGGGAATAAATAACCGCTATCGTGAACACTTTCCGAGGTACCGTCCAACCCAACTAGGTAGATTCCTAAATATGGTGGGTGAATCTCATACCTGCACCAACCAGTCAGCAGCTGCCCCTGGAAATGTGGGACCAGGACCAGGACTTCTAGTTGATGGCTACTGCGGTCTTCCACAAGGTGGCTAATAAAGCTGGCCACATGCTCTATGCTTGCTCATCCACGGAGACAGAAGCACCCTTAGTTCCTGTCTTCCCAGATTGCGGCATCACTTCCTCACACTGGTCCCCCTTCCTGCCTTTGGGGTCCTTGAGAAACCACTAAGTCTTTCCCATAAGCCCTGTTGCTCCTGTCCGCCTGAGTGGGCTGTATTCCTGCCAATAAATAACTTCTGATTTTTAAAAATCACATTTGTCTAACTTTCAGTGTTGGCCCAAACTGGGCAGCATGAATCAAAGGGGAATAATAATGCTCCATGAATAACAGAAAAGCAAAAAGCTGTTGAGGAAAGGGAACACAGTCTTACTCCATGACTTTGCAATGGTGTGAATCACAGTCACATTCATAATAATGTAAACAAAATTGATGTCAACTTTGAAAAACAATCTACACACAAAATAAAGAAGCCTTGGGGCGGCTGCGTGGCTCAGTCGGTCAAGCGTCCGACTCTTGGTTTTGGCTCGGGTCGTGACCTCACAGTTTGCGAGTTTGAGCCTGGCATCAGGTTCTGCACTGACAGTGTGGAGCCTGCTTGGGATTCTCTCTCTTCCTCTTTCTGCCTCTCCCCCGTTCATGCTCTCCCTCTCTCTCTCAAGATAAACTTAAAAAAAATTTTTTTTCAAAATAAAGAAGACTTGATAATCACTACAGAACAGAATGCAAACAATACCAATTTTGATGTTACAAAAGACGAGCCACAGAATGCCAAGAGCTGGAAGGCAGGAGTGGGGGAAGGTGTGCTGAACCAAGGGTTGGGGAGAAGGTATTCCTCCCACAAAGTGGAAGGTCAGAGAACTTCACCGTGTATGGTGATGTCATGAGAAATGAAGGTAAAAAAATGTTACTTATAGTTGCAGAGCCAGCCAACAGAAGAAACTACAATAGGACTGTAACCCTAGTAAGGGAAGGACAAAGATTTCAGGGCCTCAAGTGAGCTATATCCTCACCTGCCACAACAGCCAAGAAGGTCTAAAATTAATAACCACTATCTAGTGATAAGGCAGAGTATTACTTAGGGATAAGGAGGTTAGCTTTTATTTATTTATTTATTTTTTCAACATTTATTTATTTTTGGGACAGAGAGAGCCAGAGCATGAATGGGGGAGGGGCAGAGAGAGAGGGAGACACAGAATCGGAAACAGGCTCCAGGCTCTGAGCCATCAGCCCAGAGCCCGACGCGGGGCTCGAACTCACGAACCGCGAGATCGTGACCTGGCTGAAGTCGGACGCTTAACCGACTGCGCCACCCAGGCGCCCCAAGGAGGTTAGCTTTTAAAAGAAAAACATGCTACAAGTTTGAAAAAAAAAAAAAAAAAAGTCCTCTAAACAGGACTGGATAAGGACAGGGTAGGGCAGGGGTGACTTTTTTCGTTTATAAACCCTTTTCTAGAATTTGATTTTTTAACCACGTACATAAACTGTCTTGATAAGAAACAAAAATATAAGTATATTTAAAGGGTCTTGGGACATAAAATCGTGATATTAAGAAATTGTCACTGAAATCGATCAAAGACTTCAGAGGAGGCTGCTGCATTCAGCCTGTGAACCCCAAGTGGCCCACCCTAGACGCCATGCACTGGACCACCTGGCCATGTGGACAATGATGGGTAAATACTGACCAGTTGGCGAGAAATATGTATCTGTGTGTGGGGTGCACGAGACATTTGTCAACTCAAGGTTCAGGATGCCTGGGTGGCTCAGTCAGTTAAGCGTCCACCTCTTGATTTTGGCTCAGGTCATGATCTCGCAGTTCACGGGTTCAAACCCTGTGTTGGGCTCTGCACTGACCGTGCAGAGCTGGCTTGGGATTCTCTCTCCCTCTCTCTGCCCCTCCCCTGCTCATGCGCGCTTTCTCTCTCACAATAAATGAATCAAACTTAAAAAATAAAGTTTTTCTTTAAAATTCCAGGCGCCAGTTTCAAGAAAACTTTTCTGTTTCAGCACATCTCCTCTGTGGTGACTCCGCGTAACCCACCACAGTTTCGGATGGCGTCACAACCACCTCAGCCCACCTCGTTCGTCTGCAAGGAGGACAAAGTGCAAGAAAGGAGGTGGGCACTTACTTGCACGGGCGCTTTTAGCTTTCTGGTGGTTTTTCAAAGTGAAACAACATATTTCTTTTTTTTTTTATTTAATTTTTTAATGTTTATTAATTTTTGAGAGAGAAAAAGGGAGAAAGCGTGAGTGGGGGAGGGGCAGAGAGAGAGGGAGACACAGATTCTGAAGCAGGCTCCTGGCTCTGAGCCTTCTTCTGCCCAGAGCCCGACACGGGGCTCGAACTCCTGAATGGTGAGACCAGCACCTGAGCCGAAGTTGGACGTTCAAACGATTGAGCCTCCCAGGTGCCTCCCTTTTTAAAAACTTTTAAAAATGTATTTTTTTGAGAGACAGAACACAGCAAGGGAGGGGCAGAAAGAGAGGGAAACACAGACACACAGAATCTGAAGCGGGCTCCAGCCTCTAAGCCGTCAGCACAGAGCCCCACGCAGGGCTCGATGCGGGGCTCGAACCCATGCCCCCCCCACGCCACAAGATCGTAAGCTGAGCCGAAATTGTTAGAAATCGGAAGCTTACCGACTGAGCCACCTAGGCGGCCCCAAAGTGAAACAAAATATTCCTGATGAGTCACGATTTGGTATGATCTGCATGTTTCTCTCCCTTAATCAAGGATGGGTTATAGCTGACTGAATGAAGGGGCAGGTTCAAGCAAGAGCGAAAAAATAAAGGTGATAAAACAAAACAAGGCAGAAAAACCTCCTACATCCAGGCGTGCTCCCGTTGACAGCAGACCTCATCGTATGTTTCCACAGATCAAGAGTGGACCCAGAAAGGACAGAAGGGCTTTGGCTGACAGTGGAGTCTGAAACCCACATGTGTCCATTGTGACATCTCAGCCACCTGGCCCGAGGCGCTCAGTCACATCAGAGAAGCGTCAGCTTTGCCGTCACCCAGGAACTCATTCAAAGGGACGTGGCTTCACCATGGTTTTAACTCCCTCCAGAGTCTTTCTCAGAAAAGTATCACGGAGAAGCGACAAGAGAGTGAAATTTACCTGATCTGTTTGTCGAGCAAGGATACTGACTTCTGTTGAAGCTGCGGATGCTGCCAGCACTAAATCCCTTGGAAGAATAAAAGCAGAAGGCCATTAAACTAAAACACAGCAACAGTTCTAACCCGACTTGAGCCTGAGGTAGCGTCCATAAGGACTTCCTCAAGACGTCAAGGAGGAAGGTGAGGTTTCCTACGTGGCTGAAGAGAGGGGAGAAGATTTTAGATACAAAGCTTAACTTCTTAGTTCACTGGATAAAGCCCTGGAGAGCCGGCCAACTGCCTGACCATTTCCGAGAGACATGACAAAATCACGTCGGAATTTCCAATAAATCTATCGCCCTGTGAACAGAATAATCTGGTGAAATTCCGGACAGAAGCTTTGCTTCAAGCTATCTACCTTTCAAGAGGAAGCCCTTTGCTCTGAGGGAAATTTTTAATATGTTCCTTACATATCAGTATGTATCATTGTCAAGTCATCACCGGGGTTACTGAGAAAACGGGATTTTTAGGATGAGTATTCGATGGAGATAATTCAAGATTGGGGAAACAGGAGTCAGAGAGACATTATCCAGCATCAGAGGAAAATATGTGTGGGGCACCTCGACTCTCCATTCTCCTTTCCTACAGAAAAGAGTTTCAACGTTGGAACCAAGTGGTTCAGGTGGGACCCGACAGAGAGAGGAGGAACCCTTCTCGGGCTCTCGGCTCACCATTCTTCAATGTAACTGAGGTAGTAATGGTGTTTCCTCTCCGTGCAGCTACCATAGCAGGGCTCCATAAAGTTCACAAATATCTCTGGGTGCTTTTCTTCTTTTTTCTACCAGAAACAAAAGGAGAAAAAAAAAAATCCCATGTGCACTTTTTCTTTCATTCTACACAGTTAAGGATCGCAAAAAACAAAACCATTTAAGTTTTATGAAAAAATTCACCCAAAAATCTATGTCCAAGTCCACAGGCACGATATAAAGGCAGAGTGGAGTAGTTCAAGGCACGGGAATGGTGGCCACTGAACAGAACTGTATATACGCTGTTCTGTCACTTTCTGGTTGTGGGCCAGGCACGGACAGATCCCGCAGCCTCTCTGATACCGTTTTCTTATGCACGTAGTGGGCCTGTGGAACTCACTTCACTGCCGTCAAAGGCGGTTTTAAGTGTGAAACAAAATGACACATATAAAGCTTCTAGCCCAGGACATGGAACCCAAGAATCAATAAATGCCAAAGCTGATATTCTCCCTGGGAATAGAACATCTTAACGGGCTCTTCAAATAAGGACTTCATCTGGGGCAACTGGGAATCATGCTGGTGGCAGGAATGGAAACTGCTGTAGCTTTTCTAGAAGATCCTTTGGCAATGCTTTCAAAACCTTAGCAACAAGAGCATACATCACGGAACCAAATTCACTTCCAGGTATTTATCCTACAAGATAAACACAATCACATAAAATGTACACCAAAGGACGTATTGTGGTATTCCTTAAAACGGGAAAACTGCAAACCACCTGAGGATCCAGGAGCGGAAGAAGAGCTAAATAAATCATCTGTCCGAAAAGCCAAAAATAGATGGTATTCAAGGACTTCAAAAGATGCTTACGATTTACCACTAAAACAAGGCTGCGAAACAGAACTAATGCAACTCCCACTTCTGTTATATTTAGACATTTATTTACGTAGTTTTAAATGTTTTTATGCACTTTGAAAACCAGGACTGATTGGAAAGTATATGCGCTGCCTCATTTGTCTTTTTTTAAATGTCCCCGCAACGTAGTCACATTTTGTAGCTCTTGTTATTAATGTTCTTCCCAGTTTTCAAAATGACTCACTCCCTGAGGTCATTCCATTCTCGCTCAAAGGGCTCCTCCTCAGAGGCCTTCCTCGCGCACCCAGTCTGAACTGCAGCCCTGTCATTATCCGCCCGAACCCTTCGCTGTTCCCTCCTTCACCCTTATCATTCCCTGACCTGCACTTCTTTACTGACTATGACTAGCACACTCGTTAGAAATAGAAGACCCTTGGGGCGCCTGGGCGGCTCAGTCGGTTGGGTGTCCGACTTCAGCTCAGGTCACGATCTCGCGGTCCATGAGTTTGAGCCCCGCGTCGGGCTCTGGGCTGATGGCTCGGAGCCTGGAGCCTGCTTCCGATTCTGTGTCTCCCTCTCTCTCTGCCCCTCCCCCGTTCATGCTCTGTCTCTCTCTGTCTCAAAAATAAATAAACATTAAAAAAAAAAAAAAAAAAAGAAATAGAAGACCCACAAAAGCAAGGACTCTGCCTCAGTCACCACGATATTCTCAGCTTTAAAGCAGTGCCTAGCACCCTGCAGGCATCTGATAAACATCTGGTTAAGTATAAACAAGTGGAAGAATTTTAAAAATCAAGGTATTTTCTTGCTTTTCTAAAATATCTTTATCGGCTGCTCCTGAAGCCAAGACCACACTTATGTTAGCTAACTTGACAATCAATCAATCAATCAAATACCTTTATCAGGTTAACACCTACCAGGACTCATAGTTTACGATGTAAGCGAAAGCAAGCTTTATGATTTTCTTCACTTTACGACGAAACGGTAGATTATGCTGTTAAGAGGACACCATCATTTTGGCCCCCACGGCCCATGGTGCCAAGTTTTATGCCTGAAGTCATACCACCGTTGCCAGCAAAAGGAAGCTGGAGCCCAAGCCTTAACCTTTACTAGAAGACCTCTGTGGCTCTCAAAGAACAAAGATGTCCCTTTCACAAACGTACCGGGAGGAGAGCCATCACCACATCTGGAGAAGTTTCCAGGGTCCCATCTGCAGCAGCATAGACGATTGTGAAGACGTAAGTACCGATCCACAGCACATCCAGAACTGAAATACACACACTCTGATAAAGCATCTCACTTTGGGAATAGCTCCTGCGTGTTAAAAAATTAACAGCCCAGGGGCGCCTGGGTGGCGCAGTCGGTTAAGCGTCCGACTTCAGCCAGGTCACGATCTCGCGGTCCGTGAGTTCGAGCCCCGCGTCAGGCTCTGGGCTGATGGCTCAGAGCCTGGAGCA